ACAAAATATTAAACACTTTCAGATTACGTGTGTTATTAAAATAAAATTCCATTGAGTGACGAGTTTACGTAAATGGTGTAGTTCTTAGCTGGTATGCATGACGTAGACGGGACGGTCGTCGGCAGTATGAATGGATGTGAATGGCTCCTGCACCAGTCCAGGTAATCTGCATCTGCCTCTCCTACCTCCGCATTCGATACCAGCCTATAATGACTGAGGCTGCTGGACTTCGATTATGGAAATCTAACCCAACAGTTACTGGTCTCGGCACTCAGACGATCAACAAAATACTTGTTTGCATTTTTCCCGCGAAACTGAGTGACCGGCTGAAGTGACGTACGAGGTGTATACTACAAGTAACCGAGCTGACGTAGCACTCTCTCCGGCATGTATGGCTCCTGGAAGTCGTGGTACATAATCCGTGCACTAAAGATCATCCTCAGATGTGCGGCCGCCTGTTCGCGACCGAATGGCTCCCATTCGACCTGCGAATGTTACCAAAATTTATTATATAGTATGAAAAAATACCCCTTACGCAATACAAAGAAATAAAATATAACCACTACCTCTTGCTCAGTCATCGCGTTGAGTTGCGCACGAATCTGCTCGAGTCGACTCTAAATAGGCTTCGAGCCCTTATAGCTAACTGGTGTCCAGTCTCGGCCTGTAAGCCAACCAGCAACCCCTCGACGTCCCCGCCTCTTCGAGGGTTAGAAGCATGGAAAATACTCGTATATCTATGCCTGGAGAAGGGTCATAGAACCCGCCATCATGGTACACCCTGCTCGACTAGCAATACCAAGCTGGCGATAGAGGAATACTAGTGTACCGGATCCCCAAGAGTAAGCTTCAATATTTTCGACAACTCCATGGAGCTCGTTCATGAGCGAAGCACTAATCCTGCCCCAAGTCCTGTCGAGGAAGAGTGTCGAGGCTAACAAGATCCACATCCAAGCTTGAACTTGAACAGTGAGGAGGAGCTTGCAACAATTCTTCACGATCAAAGTGTCACTTACACCTCCGTGGCTCCATGCAACCTTTACGTTAGCCACCGGCAACCCAAGCAATCCTGCGACTTGCCTCTTCAACATATCAGCTTCCGGAGGTTCGTTCAACAAGTAACCCTCAACTGGAATCGCCAAAATGTGTGCCACATCATGCATCATAATGGTCATCTCCCCAAACGGCAAGTGAAAAAAGTTTGTGTCGGGCTACCACCTCTCTATGAATGCAGAAATAAGCGCAAGGTCAATGTCATCGTACATGGTATCAATTAGGTGATACAAACCGGTATTCTGAATCTTCAGCTGCGTGTTCTCCAGCAACTTCGTATACCATCCATGCAATTTAGACAAACTCTTCTTCGCTAGCGTCATCGTCAGGTAATCTCTTGGTTCTCCATTCCACAACTGATAAGCAGTGTGGCCAAGAAAACTAAGAATCACTGACCCATCACATGGCCCGCCAGGTACATCGTCCGTCACAACCAATCATCAATTTCTTCGTTAGAAACCTTAGACCATCTGCTAGTACCTGAAACCGAATAAAGAATAGTTGGTTAATACTTAACTTTAATGCAATAAAGAAACTGACAACGCAATAATGAATGCTTAAATATCTAATTACAAATACGTACATGACGATGTCGCAGCTGCCTCAGGACGGCTAGAGGCACCAATAGATGCGGCACCAAAACGGGAACGAGGCTGACTGGTCTGAGGGGGGTGCGATGAAGTCCCGCCAGAACGATGTTGGGGGCCAGCATCGTGAAGAGTACTACAAGGACCTCCAAACAAAATGCCCCGCAGGCCGGTATCATGAAGAGTACTACTAGGACCTCTAAAAAGAGTACTCTGTGGACCGGCATGATGAAGAATAGTACTAGGACCTCTAAAAAGAGTACTCTGTGGGCCGAAACGAAGACTGGAACCACCGAAAGTGTAAGCGGACTTCAACCCCGATAATCCAAAAAGGGTCCTCCTCCCCTCCCCCCTCTCCCCTTCGGGTAGGGTGAACTGGAGTCTAATCATCAGTACAACCAATGGGGTTCAGTACTGGGTTACCTCCAAAATGTATATCCCTCCTCTCAGGCGAGGAATACTCGTCTGACTCATCCTCCACATCCATATTGCCCCCCCTCCCCCCTCCCTCCCCACTCTCAAAACTATCCTCATCTTATTCTTCCTCTCCCTCAAACTCATCATCATCATCTACGTTCGCCGACTCACCAAGTGGGGCAAAGGTAGGATGTACATTTTTCTGTTTCTTTAAGTTTTTCTTTTTTTCTATACGATGTTCAGCATATAAATTCCTACAAAAGTTTTAAATTTTATACGTAACTTTAAATAATCCTGAATACATTCCAAAAAAATTAATTTTTATACATACTTAATAAAACCTAAATAATAAATTATTAATTTAGGTTAATTACTTTAATACATTGTTATATTATTTAAATACCTAATTATATAAAATTATCTACTATATAATCTTAAATGTTTAATCTATTAAATCTACTAAATACAAGCCATAATAATTCCAAATATACTTCAATTAATCAAATCATCTACACATTTTATTATTTAATTTTAACCAAAATATAATTTAATATCTTTTTTTTTTGTATTTACTTAATCCTTATTTATTTAATTCTCTAATACTAAATATTTAATTTCTACATATCACATATTTTTTAGGCTAATTATAGTTAAACCGACTAACCCTACAAAAATTTTCAATAATTAAATTAATTAAAATAATTTCATGATTTCCCAAATTAATTTAAAAAAATTAAAGCTTCCTAAACTACAAATGAATTCCTAAATATGAATATTATTAACAAATTATTCACTTAAGATTAAACATATTTTTACCAAAAAAAAGATCAGACATATTAATAAAAATGTTTCCTAAATAAATTACACTAATAAAATAAATTCCTAAGATTTATAATTACTAATAATAACAATTAAATTAAAATTACTAATATTTATTCTATCAAATAAATAAAAATAAATTAAAATAAATAAATTACAAAATAAATAAAATTTAAATACTAAAAAAAATTAAATAAACATACCCGACGCCAGCACATGACCGGCGCCGGATAATCTCACCAGGCGGCCAGTGTCGAAGAGATATTTCTCGCCTCACCCCCAGAGGGTGGTGAAGATATCTTCACCTCGGCTGGCGGGAAAACCGTTGCCGGTGCAAGAAGAGCTGGCGCAAGAGTTCCGCACCAGCTCTTCTTGTCCCGGCGAGGTCCTCCATCGCCGGCGGGAGCAGTGTTTTTTTTTTTTAAAAAAAAAAATCTCATATTTGAATTTAAAACTCATATTTGAACGTACCTTGAGATTTCGTACTTCTTTCCGAAACCGTTTCATTCGTTCCGCCATTAAATCAGAGTTTCTTGACGTTAGGAATGAGAGAATTTCAAATGAAAGATTGATTTCGGAATTGAAAAAATAAAATTAAAACTAAGAATTTATAAAATCTGGTAGGAGTAAAATGGTCTTTTGGTATTAAATTAGGGCACTCAAAGGAAAGAATTAAGGCGCTTAATAGCCCCCTAATTTTTTTTATATATATACCGGGAAAGCAAAGCTTAGATTACAAAAATCAACTCGTGAGGATTGAGTTGAGTTAGGCCAATCTAGTGTCAATTTTTCTAAGATTGAAGCCGGAGGTGTTGACAAAACATATTTTCCGGGTTCACAAGATAATCTCAGTTTGGCTATCGAATCAGCCAATTCGTTATCGTTTCATTTAACAAAAGTGATATTTACTTCCCACTGTTGGTCCAAAAGCTTGGTGATCCTGCGTGATATGTTGCTGTTGACTGAGAGTTGGGCTTTGCCATTAAGAGAGTTGTGTCATGAAATGGGGGTCTTTTCCCTAAAAAATTTAATTAAAACAAAGGTGGACAAATTTAAATTTTTCAGAATATTTGTGGACATGAATATATCCCACGGATTTCCGAAATCCGAGTTATAATTAAAATTGAGAACTCGGATTTCCGAAATCCGAGTTTACCTCGGATTCGGATAATTAGTTTTAGTTTTAATTAAAATGAATTCGGATTTTCAAAATCCGTTTTCTATTAAATTCGGATTTCCGAAATCCGAGTTTACCTCGGATTCGAATTTTTGAAATCCGAAGGATATAGATTTGTCCACAAAAATTTCAAAAAAATTAATTTGGTCTACCTTTTTTTAAAGAAAATTGTTTAGGTAAAAAACTCCATGAAATGGATGGTTTGAATAGATTAGTTACAAGTTTAGGGACTTAGTATGCAATTATGTAATAGTTTGAGTTTTACGGACGACATAAAAGTAACAGTCTCCGGTCAATTAGAATTATCGATGAAAATGAATGAATTTACGGTTTCTGTTTTCCCCCAAATCTCTTCTGCTTCTCAATTTCGGTCTGGCCTAGCTTCCGGTCGTGACAACTTGATAATCAGAGCTTCCGATTCTCAGTTGGGAATGGCGGCGACTGCGCAATCTCCGGCAAATGTAGGTGATGAATTTCACCGGTAGCAGCAGCTCGGGTTGAATCGATCGGCAGAGTTGTCTGAGATACGAGCCTTTGCTTCAAAACAGAGAGTTCAAATAGAAGAAATTAATGCTCAATTGGAAAAAGTTAGCGCTCAATTGAAGATGTTAACTCCAACCGGATCTCAATTGTCCGGCTACAAGCAAGATTCTCCAAAGGACAATTCGCCAGTTCATCTTGAGGAAATTTCATCGGATAAATCTTCATCTCTTGACAGAGATGCCTAAACGGTGCGGTTAACCTTCTTTTATGGCGACATCCCCAAGGATTGGTTGAATAACCGCAATAACTTCTTCACCTTGTTTCGAATTAAAGAGTCCAAGAAGATCAATAGGGTGGAGTCGTTCCTACAGGATCGTGTAGAGATTTGGTTTAGGGCTTTGCAATTGACCAATCCGCCTCTGTCTTAGATTGATTTATGCCATAAGCTCATTCGAAGGTTTGAAATGAAACAAGAGTTTCTCCTTCAATTTGCTGAGGAAGGAGGACAAGAGGAGATAATGGCAGCTGATGCTAGAAGCAACACTGGAACTGATCTCTATACAACAGTGGATTGTAATTCATCATTCTCCGAATTAGTGAAATCAGGAGGTAATACGACTATTCCTCAACCCTTTGAAGAGTTGGTTCATTTTAGTAGTGATGATTTCTCTTGTGTTAAATCTGTTGATGATTATGTCGTTTCAATTAATGATGGTACTATGGAAAGTTTTGATGAACCAAAAGTACAAGGTGATGAGGGCCTTGCAATTACAACTGATGCTAATGGTGAATTTATGATTGTTGATGAGAATAATGTTGATGCTAAGGATGTTGATTTGAAGAATGTGTTTGATGACTCTGTTAAGCTGAATCTTGATTGTGCTCAATCTAATGATGAGTTTACTATTTCATTTGATGGTAAGGATATGGGAGTTTTTGGCGAAGTGATGCATTCTTGTATTGATGTTGTCTATGTGGAAAGGTTGGTTGATAAAACTGTTTCGTTGAAGGATGTGTTTGTTGAGTCATGTGATGAGAAGGTTGCGGATGTGAAGCTTAGTAATGATATTGTGGATTCTCGAGAGAATTGGGGTGATGATTTTCTGAATATTAATGAAATAGTATGTTTTAGTGATGAACACATTCTGCTAAAAAACTTGAATCGGAAATGTGTGATGTTGAATGATGCTCTTGATGACACTAAAGGATTTAGTAAAAAAGATGATCTAACGTATTTGGCATTTCAAGATAAGAAACTTTTGTCTGTGGAGGATGAACTTAAAACTAAAAGTGCTGATAGAGGATCTTTCTTAATCAACAATGGGGTACATATGAGTTTGTTTCCTTTTGAGCCAGGAGGAAAGCTATATCCTCTATTTGATAAAGTTGAGTATTCTGCCCCTCAAAATACTGTCGGTGATGATCCAAATTATTTATTTGTGATAAGTGGATCAATGAATGTTATTGATGTCGGAGACATTGAATACCTGGGAAATGTTTCAGTAACCTTGATTCCTCTGTATGGTAAGGTTCCTACACTGTTTGCAACTAGTCTTGGTGAACTCTTGAACCAGAAATCATGGGTGTCAGTAGCAACTAGGTTTCGACGTGAGACTGCGTTTAAAAAATATTTAAACAGGAAATTCCTAGGGAAGGGAATTAGAGGTTATCGGCATCACTTGCTATTGGAAAACTTTCGTTTGAATTTTCTTGGATTCATATATTTGTTTGAGCCATATTCATGAGAATGGCGGGGTTTTTTGTTGCTGGCTGCCAACCTAACGCAAACCCTCCTCCTTTACACTGGCTTGGGACAGTCAACGATAAACTCTAGAGAACTAAAGAACTCTAGAGTTTACCGCAGGCGGGAATAAATGCAATAAAGAATCATGGTGGTGGAATCAAGATATTCAAGAAAAAGTAAAAGAGAAAAAAGTGTGCTACAAAGCCTTATATACTTGTAGGAGTGATGAGAATGTTGAAAAATATAAAATTGCTAAAAAAGAGGTGAAAAAAGTAGTAAGTGAGGCAAAGATAAAAGCTTTTGAAAACTTTTATAAAAAATTGGATACTAAGGAGGGAGAAAAAGACATTTATAAAATTGCAAAAATAAGAGAAAAGAAAACACAAGATTTAACCGAGATTAAATGCATAAAAGATGAACATGGGCATGTTTTAGTGGATGATAAGATCATCAAGGATAGGTGGAAAGATTATTTCCACAAACTATTTAATTCAGTAGATAATAGGGAAATAACACTAGGCGAACTAGAGCTAAGTGAGAAGCATAAAAATTTAACATATTATAGGAAAATCCAAAATAAAGAGGTTGAGAAAGCTTTGCTCAAAATGAAAAAGGGTAAAGCCGTAGGTCCCGATGACATCCCAATAGAGGCATGGAGATGCCTTGGTGAATTTGGGATTAAGTGGCTTACGGAGTTATTCAACATCATCATGAAGAGTAAGAAAATGCCTAACCAATGGAGGAAGAGTACACTAATACCCTTGTTTAAAAATAAAGGAGACATACAAAATTGTGCTAACTATAGGGTCATAAAACTAATGTGCCACACAGTGAAATTGTGGGAAAGGGTAATAGAAACTAGGCTAAGGCAAGAGACAAACATAACGGAAAACCAATTTGGCTTTATGCCCGGAAGATCAACAATGGAAGCTATACGTTTATTAAGAAGATTATGTGAGCATTTTAAAGAGAGAAAACAAGATTTACACATGGTTTTCATTGACCTTGAAAAGGCATATGATAGGGTTAATAGAGATGTAATGTGGAGGGTGTTAGAAAAGAGGGGAGTGAGAGTAGGATATATAGAAATAATAAAAGACATGTATGATAATGCAACAACTTGTGTGAGGACTCCCGTAGGAATTTCGGGAGAGTTTCCCATCAAGTGGGTTTGCATCAAGGATTGACGTTGAGCCCGTATCTTTTTGCGTTAGTAATTGATGAAATCACTAGTCACTTGCAAGTTGCCATCCCCGAATGCATGTTATTTGCGGATGACATAGTTCTAATAGATGAAACAAGGGAGGGGGTTAATGCCAAGTTAGAGACTTGGAGGGGGGCGTTAGAATCTAAAGGTTTTACAATTAGTAGGGCTAAAACGGAATATATGGAATGTCATTTTAGTAACCGTAGGAGTAATAGTATGGTAAATGTTAAGATAGGAGAACATGAAGTGAACACATTTAAAAGTTTTAAATATTTAGGATCCATTATAGAAGAAAATGGAAATATTGATAAAGATGTAACACATAGAATCCAAACCCGGTGGAATAAATGGCGTAGTGCCTCGTCAATACTTTGTGATCGTAAAGTACCATTGAGTTTGAAAGGTAAGTTCTATAGAACGGCCATTCGACCGGCGATGCTTTATGGATCCGAGTGTTGGGCCACTAAATATGAAAATGAGCAAAAAATGAAAGTAGCGGAGATGAGAATGTTAAGATGAATGTGTGGGCATACTAGACTAGATAGGATTAGAAATGATGATATTAGAGAGAAAGTAGGGGTAGCTCCAATAGACGAAAAAATGAGAGAAAACCGTTTAAGATGGTTTGGGCATGTGCGTAGGAGACCGGTAGAGGCTCCGGTTAGGAGGGTAGAGGCTATAGAATCAAGATTTCAAATTAAAAGGGGTAGGGGTAGACCTAAGAAAACATGGAAAGAAACTATAAAAAACGATTTGAAATTTTTAAATTTGTCCGATGAGTTGTGCACCGACCGTACACGATGGCGACATATGATCCATATAGCCGACCCCACCTAGTGGGAAAAAGGCTTGTTGTTGTTGTTGTTGTTGTTGCATATATTTGTTTGAGCATGTTATTACTGATATTAGAAGCTGTTTAATCAACAGTGGGAGCTATCTTAGTTTGTTGACTTCTGAGTAATGTGGTGAAGGTTGGAATACGAAATCATGGGTGAGAGTAGCAACAATATTTCAAGGTGAAACTATATTTGGAACTAATGTCGATGTTCAGTGTAATGCTTCTATGGGATTTGTCTCGACTGTAAATGTCACTGTTTGGGTGTATGATCCTGGAACCGGCACAAGTTATTTAGCGGCAGTAATAAAGGGAGACAGGGGGAATGGTTTTATGGAAAAAGGTGCCTTGTTTCGTAGCTGGTCCGATAAGGACAGTGAGGAAGCCAAAATGACAACTATCAGTCTAGGCAGCTGAGACCAAAAAAGTTAGCTACAAGTAGTTTTGATGTTTGTGTTCAGTTCGAGTTGTTCCGATCGAAATGGAATACAGCTCCCTACTTGATTCCAAACCTTAGAGGACAAGGTTCATTTTAAGGGAGAAGGAGTGGTTGTCAAGGTTCTTACAGCCTACCACAGCTGTTCTCGGGATTTCGATTTAGTTGTTTTGAACTTGAACCTGAAAATTTGTGTTAAACATCAGAAACTATATTCATGGGTTGTTATGGTGTCGGTGTTTAAAGGACAAACTGTAACAGGGGTAGTCATTGTGTTGCAACTGAAGCTTGGTTGGTTTAATGAAAGTTCCTTGCACTTCGGGAATTTATCCTCATCAAAAGGGTTGATGTTAATCAAAGTAAGGTTTTCTCATGTTGGTTTTCTTGAGCTTAAGGTTGTAGAATGTCTCGGGTGTCAAAATGCTTACATCCATATTTTGGTTTGATAATGAAACAAATGTTTCAAAGTGTTCTCTGCTTCAGATTCTTAAAGGCAAAAAGATAAATCAGGTTTCAAACAATACACTAATGATAATTCTGGAAACCATTTTTGTGTCAAGAATGATGAAGTCGAGAGTGAAGATAATGAAGTTAGTTGCAGGACCATTTGAAGTGGATCTTGAGTTTGAAATTCTTCAATGGCCAGAATTCATTATAAGAGGAATATCTTATATTAGTTTTCCAGGCTCAACAAGCATTATCCAATCAGGTCAGCCGTTTATATTTACTTTTAAGACTTTATCTGTGCTCCCTATTGCTTCCTTATTTGTGCCATTTGACAATCCAAAAAAAAAGAGGTGCTTGGTATTGTGTTGTGGAAATTAAGCCTTAGAGCTACTGTATTTCTGGAGAACATGTTAGCTGATTGTTATCATCATAAGAAGGGTATCAATTCTCTTATATTTGAATCCATTGAAAAATGGAAAAACACTGGGAACGAATTCGGAAGCATTCAATGTGTTGAACCTGTCATTGGCACAATGAAAATGATGCCCTTGGTAGCAGATTATTTTAAGTCACATCATTTGCACCCATGTTTGTGTTTGGCCTCTGATGGTGATCAACAATTGATGGTATTACTCATGGTTCAAGTATTAAGGAGTGCATGTGCATTTATTCTATTACATTGGAGATGCCTTAGCATGGTTTTATTCTGGAAGACAGAGAGTCAAAACAACACGAGGATGCTGGCCATATTTTCCTTATGCTTTCATTTTGGAATAGTGTTATGAATACATTATGGAATTATCAATATATATGGTGGCAGTTTGTTTTTCATTGTACAAGTCTTGGGGACAAGACTTAGATTAGCGGGAGGAGTTGTCATGAAATGGAGGGTTTGAATAGATTAGTTACAAGTTTAGGGATTTAGTATGCAATTATGTAATAGTTTGAAATTTACGGACGGCATAAAAGTAACCATCTCCGGTCAATTAAAATTATCGATGAAAATGAATGAATTTACAGTTTCTGTTTTCCCCCAAATCTCTTCTGCTTCTCAATTTCGGTCCAACTTACCTTCCGGTCGTGATAAGTTGACCGCTTGTAGGCTGTTCATATGGAGTTGGATCCTTCTAAAGCCCATACTCCATGCAATTTGCAGCCCAAGGAAAGCGGCCCAATATTCAGCCTCTTGAGGGGAGCAATCCCCCAAATTCACAGTGAATCCCGTAATTCACCTCCCTTCATGGTTTCTGACGAGACCTCCGGCCGCCGCTTTTATTGATGATGCCGAAACAGCACCGTCCGTATTCAAACGAACCCACCCCCAGGGTGGGGGTCCCAAATCGATCTTTGAGCCGAGTCCAATAACACTGAATGTGGGTACCAATACGTTTTTATTGGAGTATCTCTCTACTTAGCTATATATGCTTGGTACATTGTTCTCTATCGTCGTCAAGCAAATGACATAATTAGCTTCAAAATGTGTGTGTGCAGACATTCAGAATATTGGGCGGGGCAGTGGGAGGATGATCTCTGCCAGCCCAGAATCAGTATGCTGCTTTATTCTTTCTCATAAATGGAGACCCGCAACGGATGTAGTATTTGTTTTGGGGCTATTTCCATCCTTTCCAGGCATCGGCCTACTTCATTGCTATTGCCCTCTTCTCCGGCCCTATCCATCTGACTCATCCGAGTTTGTCTGCACAATTGCACACATCAAATTTACCAACAGCCTTTTTTTTTTTTTCGGGTAATCTATACAGCATTGAACAAACATATACTTATAATATTGTCAAAGTCCCAAAAACATTTGATATACACTAAGTAACTAAATAATTACATTACATTACATGGATATGATACAATTACGATTTGGCCCTTGATGGTGGATCTTTAAACCAAAACATTACGTCCGGTTTTGTGTGGCAAAAAATATGCTACAAAATTTGTCTCCCGAAACTTGTAAATAACTCCGACCTCCTATTCACGGGCCAACAGTCCACGAATGATAACTCCACGCACTTACAGGCAAATTTCCAGCCTAAACATAACAGAATAAAACCTAGATACCAGAGTAGGCTAGTTATCCTCCCCCAACAGAGTTTCGTTCAACAATGAATCTTCGTTTATCTCTATTTGACCATTACTACTACTAATCGTTGTAGCTGTGTTGTTCCCATTTAGGAGCTCTTCTCTATTTCTCTGCATCTCTAGCCAATTCTCCGGCTCCTCCAACAGGCGCAACACCTGCTTCAAACCCAATAACAATGTTTCCGAATATCAGTACTGAAATCTTATCCTTCAGAGAGAATGATTATATGTTAAGCTCGACGTGTTTACCGTCTTCATAGTGGGCCTTCTAGATGATGAATGCAAAAGACACAACCGAGCCGCGATCATCATCACTTTCATCTCATCTTTGTCGTACTTTTCCTCCAGGTTAGGATCAATGAGGCGCTCATACAGACCGCTGCTCAGAAGTGACCTTGCCTGCAAAAACCACACAACCGGCTACTTTGTTATGCATATTACCTTAGCCTAAAGCCAAAAAAAAAAAGATGGTCCCCTTTTGTTAGATTTACCCATAACACTAAGCTTTCTTGACCAGATAAACATGATGATTTTGTTTGAATAGCCTCCTTCCCAGTGATGAGCTCCAAAAGTACAACCCCATAAGAATACACATCTATCTTCTCATCAACTCTGCCATACATCATGTATTCGGGTGCCAGGTATCCAAAAGTTCCAACCACATGAATCGGCTTCGTGATTACAGGTGATGATGCTGGATGGTTTTGATGTAACACAGTTGCAGCTCCAAAATCTGAGAGCTGCCATAAGGGAGCCAGAATTCTTAGCTATCGTTGATTTGCAAAACTCATCCAAACGCATGCGTACCAGCCGATTTACTGGGAAGAGATGAAAATTAGAGTTGCAAAAACTGACCTGTGGTTTGTTATTCTCACATAGAAGGATGTTAGAGGATTTCACATCCCTGTGTATGATAGGAGGACAAAAGGAATGGAGGTAATCTAAAGCCTTGGCTACACCAATTGCAAGTTGCATTCTCTCATCCCAGTTAAGCTGTTTAAGTTTCTGCCTCAGACTTTCCTTGAGTAGAATGTACACAACAGCCCGCAAATCTTTACAGTAGCAAAATCCCAGAAGCCGAATTATGTTTTCATGATTCAAACTGCTCAGTATTTCCACCTCCCGCAAAAGATCCTCTTCGGAGTTCGGTGAATCATTCAGTACTTTGACTGCTGCTGCCTGGCCATCCTCAAGGATAGCTCGATACACCTTACTACACCCTCCTTCCCCAATTAACATCTCAAGACAAAATTCTTTGGTGGCCAACTTCAGTTCTTCTTGAGAAAAGCGTCTGCTATAACCTTTGACTTCTAAAGTAGCCAGTTTTTCAAACAATTTGTGAGTTACCTGTGGAATGCTCATATTTTTTCTCACACCCAGCAGTTTTCTTTCATTTGCAGCTTGCTCTGTAGGTGATGAACCCGAGGAAGAGGGCACTGTGAGTGACTTTTGGAGATGACATCCACTTTCTGATCGTCTTTGGGAACTGAATTCAGAAACAAATGGTGCAGACAACCGGCGGAGGACTACTCTACTTGCTGGAGAACCTTGTTGAGAAGTTCCCCACTTCTGCGTCAACATTCTGCCTCCGTGATCCATAACCAGAAGTGAGCAACTTGGAGGCAATGCCTTTAAATATTTATTAATTTTTGAATCTTTAGGCCTGCACAATAATATCAAAAGCAGCCAGTACAGATCAAGAATAGTGTTTTTTCTTTTCCTATTAGTCAAAGATTTGATAAACTATGACGATTTTACTTTACCATGGGCTACTGCATCCCACTGCAAGAATTGTGGCGTAATGTATCCGAACTTGGTGACTCAGTTCAGCTATATAGCAACTGCCAATGCAAACTTTCACTTGGAAATCCACCTGGAACAAATTAAGGCGTGAAGCTAGAAAATATACCAATTTGCTTGCAAGAATTAGTGTGTGGCAAGAGAAATAAACCAAACCAAAACCTGCTTAGACTTGCAGAGATCTTCATGGATGTGGAAAGTGTTGGCATCAAAGTTACTGTTCCCATCATTGACATGAATGGCCAATACATTGTCTCCTGGAACCACCACTACATTAAGCAGGCGAAGTAGAATTTCTCTACTGTAGTTATCAGACTTGAGACCAATAATGATTGTTCTCTTCTTACTCCCAACCCTGCTCTTTAGAATCGAAAAAATACCTGTGTTTTTTATCCTTGGACTTCCCATCATCATCATCATTTACCCAGATTGGTTCTCTTCTCAATGTAAGGTTAACATCTCAATAGGAAAATTTGATCTTAACTTGTCATTGATTCATAAAAGAGATTCTTTTAACCACGCAGCCAGAATCTGTTAGTACTTCTGCAAATTTGTGAAGTCCCTTTCGCCATAACTTTTAGTGGCCATACCTTTGATTGTTCTGGGCACTTGCTAATGGTTGGTAGGTGCTTTTAAGTCCATCAATCCAGCCTAGAAGAGTGTAACAACATAGCGAAATATAATTACCAGTGAAAGATATACTGCAGCCCTTTGGTCTGGACATTGTTTAAGGTAAGTCTGAGGAAGTAGTACTTACTGTACTTCCAGCCAGTAACTACAAGTCCTCCCATGATCTTTCTCCCCGAACCAGGGGTTGTCCATATCTCATACCTGTTGGCTGTTGCGTACAAACACAAAAGAACGTCAGCAGAAAATATAAAAAATAGGGCACATGATGAAAATATACATAATTAAATAGTGCAGATATTGAACAACTACTTCGGCAGCAAATAAAGAGATGAATAAATTATCGTGCCATCCTGTTTTGGTCGGAAACTTTTGGCAAACATTTGGCCAAGTCTTATTAAGCCCCACTAGCCATTGTTATCTGTCTCGCTTTCAGAACCCTTCTTTATCTGGATAATTAAAGATGCCATCTCTCACTGTACCACCCTTTGCCAAATCACATTCATAGGCATCCCCCCAGTTTTGGATGGGGAAAGAGTAACACCGACAAGTATGTTAAACCTCTGATCCTTCTACAATTCACTCATTTACTGCAAAAAGGAAAAGGAAGAGAAGAATGGTTTCATTCACAGATAGAAAGTCCCGTCAATATAATACAGATTTGGGATTGGAGGGGTTTAAAAGAACAACTAAGGAGTCTAATATTCATTACAACATCCAAATATGGAATAACAAATGGTAATATTATTGAGACTACTTCTGATAGCAACTATCGCTCCGAGTTCAGGTCAATCAATTACAGCATTATTGCTCCAAATTACACTGCATCATCTTGCACAACCAACCGCGAATTGCATTACAAGAAGGCAAAAGGACAAACTTCAGTCGGTATATATGATCCATTAACAGCAGAAACCACGACGTCGGTCCCGAAAAAGTCGCGTAGATACTTCATTTAAGGAGAGATATGCTCAAGCCTTGTCAGCTATCTGGAACATATTAAAACAAAGAAGTTTGCATTGAAATTAGCTCACAAAACGACAGAAAATTGAGTACAGCAGTTTCCAAAATGAAGTTGAAAGGACGGAAGGTGTCACAACATCAAATAACAATGAAACCATCATGGTAGTGAAAATTCAATTTTTACCTGGTTAAGAGGATTGTCAGGAGATTTCTTCCACAGCTTCCAGATCATGTCTTTGTACTGAGTATGTGTGAGACCCGGTTTCTCTTCTTTCAGCCTCGGCAGCTCAGCTTCTTCAAAAGCCTATTATATAACAAACGTAAGCCATAGTCACAAAAGAAAATCGATGACTTCTAAATAATGAAATAATAAAGATCTTTCCCCTAAAACCATTGTTGACGTTATCCAATCAGATGGATAACAGTTTCACGGTTAACACTAACTCTTTGCAAACACAAGCAAGCATACAACTGTTTCAAAGCAGACTAAGGTGCTACCAATGTTTTTTGCAACCTAATGTACTCAACAACACTACTACGGAAGCATATAAATGAATCTCAGATAGATATATAGATGATCACGGAGAACCTATTGTATACTATCATTCCTAAAACACCATCTGAAATGTAATTTCTAAACTTTGATTCCAGGAAACCTCAATAGACAATACCAATATACCTTGTCGCTTTGTCAATGTTAAATTATGGCATTTGCAATGCAATCCAAATCACCACTCACAAACAGTAAACTTCCATCAGATGGACTGTTTGAATCAATGCTTGGTCCCTTACTGATCTCATCAAACCAATGGTAAATCACAAATCATGCACATACTCTAATCAATTGAAACTGGTAATAAATTAAATTCCAGAACATGATAGTTGGGCATGGACATAAAAAATAAAGAAGGCAGTTTTCCACATTTTCATCACCCGTAGAATATAAAGAATCAAAACTATCATTTCCATAAAATTGAAAATTGACCTTGAAAGAAGCCTTGAGTCTCTTCTCGGGATGCTTATCTACAGGCAAACTATCGGCGACGGTCATCTGAGCAATGGCTTCTTCAATAGTACTGGCCTCAAGAATGGAGTCATCACGGTTTCTATTCTCAACAAGCACCATCCTCTCGTACTCCTCCTCCGCGGCGGTACGGCTGCTCTTCCTCTTCTCCTCTTCAGCCTTCCTCAGAATCGCCGCCTGTTCTTCCTCCCTACGACGCCGAAGCTCAGCCTCCGTGACCTTGGGCAACGGAACCGCAACTCTATTGGCCTTCTTATCCGGCTTCTTCAGAGCCTTCTCCAATTCCTTCTCCTCCAGCTCAGCCAAACGTTTGGCCTCAGCCTTACGAGCGGCGGCTTCTGCGCGCTTCTCGGCTTCCTCCTCCTTCTTCTTGGCGGCGCGGGACTTGGCACCCTCAGCTTCCCGCCAGTACTGCTCTTCCTTCTCCCGCGTTTCCCGATCCTTGCGATCGGATTCCGCCGCGCTCTTTCTAGCCCTAGCCGCCTCGGCTTTGCTGTTAACTCCCATCTTTTTCGGCATTTTGATTAATTTGGATGCAATCAGATTTCTCCGACGACGCTCCTCCTTTTCCCTCTTCTCCTTCTCCTTTCTACGGTGGATAATAATTGAGGCGGAGATGGCCGCGTTCAAGTCTTCTGGAATAATTCCCGGCCACCTAAGCACCGACTCCTTAAACGATGGGCCATTTCCGAAATAAGCCAATACGGACCAAACTCATTTATGTATCTTCTGTTAACAATTAGCCCAGTAAAAGAAGAGACGTTGGACTTAGCTACGTGCTAAATGAAAAAATGGCCCAAAGGCAGTAATCATAAATGGATCACCAGCTGATGAACGATTATGGCATTTGCCTAACACTTGTATTCATTCAGCTAATAACCAGTAAAATTAGACGAAATCAATACACAAATACAATAGAGTATTTAGATATGAAAGTTTAAGTAGCAAGTATTATGTCACAAATGCACGTGCTAATTATCAAGCAGAACAAAGTGGCTGGGAAAAAAAAATGACTTGATTATTGAATTATTAACATATAGTACTAGTACTCCCTCCATTCCGCTTTATTACGGTGAGATTAAGAATTTGATTCAATTAAATGTTTTAAATTTCAGTGATAGTAGTTGGGATATGTTAGAGAATTCATTGATAAACTATTGTTAACGTTTGAAGTGGGCATTAGTAGACGGCGGTAATGACAATTCACAGTAGAAGCTTTACAGTTATATGAAAAGTAAAGCAATTAATTTTCAAAGAAAACGTGGAGGTGGTTTAATTTTTATTATACTACTATTATATCTATTATAAAATGCCTTTTTTCATCATCCATGGAGTGGAATAGATGAGTTGAATAAGGAAAAAATGACCGGTTTAATCCTCTTATCGATTTCATTCTAATGTTTAACACTCTAACTAATTTTATCATTACGATAAAAAAAATTAGCATTTTCCGACAATTAACTAATCAATGATGTCAAATAATTTTCTGTTATTTTTTCTGAAAATAATTAAGTTAATTAATGATTCTAATTAACTGGCTGTTTTAGTTCTCACGTTTGGAAATAATAAAAAAAAAATTAAAACATCCCAATTGAATAAGTCAATTACCGGAAAATGCTAATTTGTGATCGAAAGGATGAAATTAGGCAGAGTGTTGGGACTAAATTGAGCATCTTGAAATAGCTCGGGATGAAATCGACCGGAAGGTCAAACTTTAAGATTACATCATGGCTAATTTTTCCGTTGAATAAGCCATAAAGGTGGGGTGGAATGATGTGGTACTGACCAGTGTGAATGAATACACGTTTTAACGTTAATGTTCTTCGGATCTGTGGTTAAAGAAATAATGATGTGTTGAATTAGCTGCATCATGCATGACTTGACTGACCTATTACTGCTTATTATATAGTCCACGTATCTAATAAAATCCAAAATGTATTATACCCAAAAATCTTATGGAAATCCTACGGAGCAGAGACTTGTTGGTGTGAAATAGTATGAATGTACTCCTTGTGTCCCCAAATTCCTATTGTCCAGTTTGGATTTTACACTTTTATTTTAATTTGTACTAAAAACAAAAAATCAAATTGAATAATAATTTTGAGATGAAGAGAGTATATAATATAACAAATGTAACGATTAGGAGTGATATACCATCAGTAGTACTGAAAAAAACCTCTCCTGATAGGAAACCGTGTTCCTCCACGACATTATGTTATCCCACTGCATTTGGTGCTTAATTTATTCCCGTGAAAATTTCACGCTCCCTGGAGTCCATAAAAATCCCCCTTTTTTGATTTGTTGTTAATAGTAGTATGCCGCACGCTGTGTGTGTGTGTGTGAGAATCCTACACCAATATGACCAAAAACAATCAAATCAAAAGGTTAACCGGAGTACCAGTACTAGTAGAAGTAGAATTGTTATTAATAAGGATCAAACTTCAAAGTCATTGGGATTTGTCGACCAACAACCCCCATAAGATTCAGGAATACGGGAATTGTATTAATTGTACTACTAGTACTCGGGCAATGATGCATATGCAGATAATTTTGTGGGCTGCTTTAATATATAACCTCTTTTTGTAGTCTGATTTGACCCACCAAATCACCTCTATTGTTTCTCCTTCTTCATTGCTCACTCCAACTACAATAGCATTATGCATGGAATAGCAGTAACGAGTGGGGGTCAAACAAGTTTGCATTGAATGTATATTGTGGAGTTACTAGTAGTATATGGATGGGGTGGAAGTGGATATTTGTTTTTGTGAGGTGTTGTTCATCGACATTACGGTATGCATGCACCAAAAATACACTGAATTATCACCATCAACATTGGTATTAATTATCTCATCAAATGAGTTGTCATCGATGTTAGTTAATTCAATTCCCGTCATACAAACAAACAAGAACAAGAGAAAGAATTACCAATTATATCATCAACATGTGGGAAAATGGCTTTTTTTATCCCAAAATTTGGACCACACCATCCAAAATATCTCAAAGTTTAAAAACATGCCATTTACATCCTAAACTTTTTAAAAACATGTTACATTAGGATATTTGTTAAATTTTTAGCTCCAGTTAATTAATTAGTGATGATACTTTATTCTGTTTCTCCTCCCTTAATTCTTTTAATCATTTAACACATTCCACTAACTCGCACTTTATAAGAAAATAGTTAAACCTAATTTGGTCTTCACATCATCCATTCTTCCCTTGCTTAGAAAAAGAAAAAAAAAAATCCAAGATTAACCTTCTAGATTGATAACAATCATGAGAGATTTTGTGTGTGTCCTAATTAGAAAGTAAGCCCTATTTCATTTACCTTTTTTAAATATGTAGCATCATTATAAAAATTGGTGTTGTAATTGATGCAAGGGCATGCAATTTTTTTGCTTGGCATGGACCAAATTTACCAAACATAAGCATAAAACTTTTTTGACTAAAAAAAAAATCGGGGAAAAGAAACTGAATGAAATATTGTCATTAATAACTTGAAAAAATTAACAAATGTCCTGATATTATATATTTTTGAAAAATTTTGGATGAAAATGACATGCTTTTAAATTTTGGGATGTTTTAGATGGTGTGGCTCAAACCTCGGGATGAAAAAGTTCATTCTCCCATCAACACATATACATACATATATATAGACACTATACTACTATATATTAATAACAATGTGGTCTGTTTGACAAATACTACAATTATTAGGGTCCAAGACACACTGTTGTCAGATCAACACACAAGAACTGAGAAAAGTAGTAGTAAGAGTACCGGACCAGCCGACCTACCACCCCCCTACGTCTATCATCAAACTGAACAGTAGCCCTAATTAGCTGCCTGCACCCTACTCACTCTTCTTTTTCCTTCGTCCCATACGTAATCTACAAGCCTTACCCCTCCCCCAAAAAAAAAAAAAACTCCTATAAAACAATTCTACAAGACATCTCAATTTATACTACATTTTTGCCCACTTCACAAGTCGCAATAATGCACACAACGTCATTAAACATTACAACCTCCACATTATATAGGTTTATTATATTGTTATACTATCTGTTTCGAATTTTTATTCTCCTCAAAATTTTTATGGTCCGGTATGTTCTTTTACGGGAGTGCAACTAATTCTAATCCAAACATTTAAAACCAAAACTAAAATTAGTAAAAGGATCTTAAACACGTTCAATTTTTGTTTCCTTTAATCTTTTTTTTAGCCATCAATAATTGGGTACACTAATTGTGTAGCAATACGGTTTTAGTTATACTGATATTTTTCGTGTGTATACTAGAAACAAATAAAATGGGAGAGACAAACATAGGAGCTACTAATAGTATTATAAGCTAGCTGGTAAGCCTGCCGGTCAATCATGCATCCATCAATTCCCTCATATTAGCAAAACATTATTTCTATCTCTCTGTTTTTCTTTTTTGGTTTAATGGGAGGAAGAAAAAAGAAAAGAAAAACCGAAAAAACAAAATGAAATTCGAAATTTGGCAGCACTTGTTTTTGACTTGGAATGCATTTGTGTGTCATAAGAAGAAGCAGCAGTGGTCAAAGTTTTGAATGGAACGATGGATTCTAAACACTGCTACGTAGAAATGACGTTCCTCCCACAAAAGCCCATCAGTCTTTTGAAAATTTTTAGCACAAGCCACAGATTTTAGCTGATCTTCGTAGAGTACTACTAGTAGTAGGCAACAGATTCTGCCCTATAATTTGGTCGTTCATGTTCAAAAATAAAAATAAAAAATAAACAACAACAAGATCCTGATACCTGAGGAAAATAATCTGCTATAAAACAGAATTCTGTAATGCATGTCGCGGTGTGGCAACTCACACAAAGGAAAAAAGTTATACCAGCTGGATAAATACAGAGCGCACATACAAATAGAAAAACTCCGGGAATAATTATTAATTTCCAGTTAATTATCAGCTCACTGTCACTTCCTAAAGAGTCAACATTACATACCATAATGTTCTGACATTGTAAATCCTTAACCTGGGATCACATTTGTGTTAGTTTACACTTTCACATGTGCCCTCGTATATTAACATTTGTATTACAACCAAGTAAGAAATCTCAACTCATTAGTAATCTAACACGATAAACAATATATTAACGAAATTGGTCGGTACACATATAATGTTTTGTCTAGTTACAGATAGTCGACTATACTCTTTGTTTGTTGACTTAATGGGCCTAAAATTCATGAAATAATAAAGGATCATCACCGAATTGATAAAAGAAAGATTGCAAGTGGGCACGTTTATGCGTGTCTTAGTATTGATGTATGAATATGGTGTGCTCATGTTTTGTTTCGAGATTATGTCGTCCCCAAAAGGGAATTCATATAAGTACTACTTCTATAAAAATATCGTCTTTTAGCAGTAGAGCAGTAGTAATATGAAAGAAAAGGACCAAATTGTGTGTGGGTGTGGTGTGTGTGAGATGTGCAATTCTCATTTTGCCACTTTGCTTCTCCATCGAATTAACCACGCTCTTTTAACGGCCTAAATTAACAAGTAATCCCACAGAATTATAGGTAGGTGCAGATTCTGAAGCAGCCGGATGTTTGACCGTCGGGATCCACAGACGGCAACAAAGAAGACTAGTAGTAGTAGTACTAATAAATAAATGAACGAATGTGTGTGTTTTACACTAGTATTTAGTAGGCCACAACTCACACATCTCAATTTAGCTCTACAAATTGGGACATAATAAACGAATTAATCCACACCAGAATGTCTAGTCTTGGCATTCCGTGTGTTTTTTCCAACCAAAGGTACTCCATATATAATACTATTACTAGTGTTAATTAATTACACTTTTATTTCCCACAAACACACCATTTTTTTTTTCTTCTTTTATGGAAGTCACACAAATGCAGCATAATAGCAGAAGAAGATCGGGAAGAAATCTCATAATACATATGGAAAACATGATATTCATTTCTACTTACCTTTTACTACTCTAGTAATTTATTACTACTTTCGCACTGTTAAAAATAAAAGGGTAAAAAACAGTAAAAGGAACAACTGTAGTGATAGCACCAACCACCAGTGTCGTGTTGTTTTGTTTTCTATTCTTTTCTTTAACTAGTCTCTGAGTTGCTTTCACTTTATCACTCTCATCTTCCACAGCCTTCATCATCATCATCCCCATCTTCTTCTTCTGCTTCTGCTTCTTCTCCATTTTTTTCTCCTCCGCAAAACCATCCTTTCTCACTTTTGTTTTCTTCCATCAACAGCCACAACTTGGCTGCTCCACCGTAACCCGCTTCCATTTCAGTGTCAATTCTCGTTCTTATAAAGACTGCATCTTTGTTCACATTTTCGTCTGCATTCCCCTCTCTCTTATTCCACATTTCCCCCTTTCCCCCCCCAAAGGGCAATTTTATCAAAGCTTTTATTTTTGAGTGACCTAACAAATATGGCGGCAAGCATCTCGGAGGAGGAGGAAGGCGGTCCTGGGTCCGGGTCCGGGTCGGATCAGCAGAGCGAGGAGAGGTGCTCCGGCAGCTACAGTTTGAGCGCTGACGTCAGCGAGTCTGAGAGTTCCGACGGCTTCCCTTCCCCTCATCGCGGCCATTACTACGACGGCTGCTCCTCCAGCTCTCCCAAGCTTGCCACTTCCGGCGGCTTCTTGTTCGATCCCTTGTTGGGAACTCCTAATCTTATGTTCCAGGCTGTTGACGGCAAAGATGTGCTGGTTTGGGATCAGAAGCCCAAGAAACGGGGCGGCGGCGACGCCGATTTATCCGGTGCGTGTACCTTCACCCCTACTGTGTGTCTCTTCATTTTGTATCCCCCCAACACCCGCTGTTGTTTTACTACATTACTCTGTTTGAGTTTTTATGCTTTTCTTTGAGATGGGTTATCAAGCGTCTGATTAGAGCTTGGAAACTTGTTGTAGATCTTTGTTCTAGTTCATTACTTTTAACTTTATTCATTTCCGGGGAATTAATTTATTTAATTTTTTCCTTAATGGTCATAGAAATGGAGATGATGAAGGAAAGATTTGCAAAGTTGTTGCTTGGGGAAGATATGTCTGGAGGTGGGAAAGGAGTTTGCACCGCCTTAGCCATCTCAAACGCCATCACCAATCTCTCCGGTCAAACCCTTTTACCCCTTCTTTTTATGTTTCTCTTCTAATTACCTCTTTCCTCTTTTCTTTTCTTAAATGCTTGTCTAGTTTGGTGGCAGTCATTACGTGTCTGTTTTGTTCTAATCCACATTGAGATTGAATGTTCATTTGTTTTTGTTTTTGTTTTATTGTTTTTTTTTGTTTTGGTGGGGTTGTAGCTACTGTATTTGGGGAATTATGGAGGTTAGAACCTTTGGCTCCACAGAAGAAAGCGATGTGGTGCAGGGAGATGGAATGGCTTTTGTCTGTAAGTGATTCCATTGTGGAGCTTGTGCCTTCAAAACAGCAGTTTCCGGATGGAGGTGGCACGTATGAAGTAATGGAAACTAGACCGAGGTCTGACTTGTATATGAATCTCCCTGCACTCAAGAAACTTGACGCAATGCTCATAAGCATCCTTGATGGTTTCCAGGATGAGAAGGAGTTTTGGTATGTGGATCGTGGTATAATTGTTGCTAATGGCGTTGAATGCGGTGATGAATTTTCTCCTTCCGTGTCCAGTAGTGGTGGGAGTCGTCCTTCTGTTAGGCAGGAAGACAAATGGTGGCTTCCCTGCCCTAAAGTTCATCCAAAGGGATTATCAGAAGATGCTAGGAAGAGGCTGCAGCAATGCAGAGACTGCACGAACCAAATTTTGAAGGCAGCCTTAGCAATCAATAGCAATGTACTTGCTGAGATGGAGATTCCCAGTGCCTACTTAGATACATTGCCCAAGGTTAGTCATTGCCACCTACTTTTTCTGTGTCCATTTTATTTTCCTTCTGTAAAGTTTCAATTTTTTGTATAGGTTTTTTTCTTTTGTCCCTTGAATGTGAATGGTTGCTTGTTCAAGATGTTAGGTTTTTGCTGTATCATAAGCTTGGGAAAAGATTATCATTATTACATGAAAGACGGATTAGTCAATCAGCATTCTGATATTTTCATCTAACCGATGTTTACATGGCTAAAAATTCTCTTTATTCTTTGCAATTTCTCAGAGTGGGAAAGCTTGCTTGGGTGATATCATCTACCGTTACATAACAGCCGATCAATTCTCGCCAGAACATCTTCTGGATTGTCTGGACTTGTCCTCAGAACATCACACGTTAGAAGTAGCTAACAGGATAGAAGCAGCTCTGCATGTTTGGAGACTGAAAGACAGGAAGAAATTTCCCTTAGATCATGATCATCATCAGAAGTCGCCTAAGCGTAGATCGTGGGGTGGAAAAGTCAAGGGACTTGTTGCTGCTACTATGGATATCGAGAAAAACAACTTTCTTGCTCAAAGAGCCGAAACCCTCTTACATAGCCTAAGGCTTCGTTTTCCAGGACTTCCTCAAACTGCATTAGACATGAACAAAATTCAATATAACAAGGTAAAGTTCACAAGTTACTTTTTTTTTTTTTTTCACAATTTATAAGATTGGTAGGAAGCATTTATGATGTAGTACTGCAAAGTCTGTCAAGCTGAAGCCTTTTTGCCATGAACAACAAAGATTTTGAAAGGAGACTGAATAGTTTGCTTCGTCATTTTAATGCTTTATTGTTGTCTGATTGAGTTCCCATATCCCTAGCATTACATTTGAGAATGTAAAGCATCAATTCAAGAATCCTAAAAATTTCAAATGCGTAACAGTTGCAGTATGTATTCTTTCCTGCACCATTGTTGTTAATCATGTCCAATTTTTCCTTGTGCAGGATGTTGGGCAATCAATTTTGGAAAGCTACTCAAGGGTAATGGAGAGCTTGGCATTCAACGTCATGGCAAGGATAGATGACGTCTTGTATGTCGACGATGCCACTAAACGCTGCAATGCATTAGAATCATCTATGTCATCGTTTTTCAGTAGAGGAGGTTTAGGTGGTGGCCATCATCCAATCCAAAAGCGAATATCGCCTAGTCCTTTCTCCATTCAGCACACACCATATGCATCGCCCTTTGCGACTCCGTCATTTTGTTTGTCCCCATTAGTCAGTAGTAGCCCGGCCAGGGCCATTTCTCCAAGGAACAAAATCAGAGTGTCGCAGCAGACTAAAATTGAGAAAGTAGTCACACCAGCAGATGTGGATAAATTGTTATCTTATGCTGGAAGCCTTAGCGCTAGAAGATTTTCTGAAAACGCTGCTCCAGAGCGAGATTGATCAATGGCTGATGATGCTGTTTGATCCATTTTCTACATTGTAAATCTGCGAAATTGCATCATTAGGGCAAGGTTTTTTTTTTTCCTTCATAGTTCAATGTTTTGGCGGTGACCTAACCTGTCAATTTTCTAATTGAGTTGTTGCAGTAGAAGTTATTAATGCAGTAGTAGATAGTCACTGTTTTTACACAACAATAGTTAACTCGTGGCAGGGAGTACAATGATAGCATTATCCTTTCTATAATTTTGGTTTCCCTGCTTCATACAAGATAATCAAATTTCGGATGACATAAATCCATAAACAGCATAGATTAATCTTCGTTGGAAGTGTCATGGTGAATTTTCTTTTACGGGTAACAAAAATATTTAGGTAGACAAAAAGCAAAATTTATGCTCATTTAGCATAATCATACGTTTCTTCTAGTACATTTCGGGAAAGAAAATAAAAAAATAAAAAGAGAGACCACAGAGACTGGAACCAAAACTTAAAACAAGAAGGATTACAGCTGCCACGCGAGTATCCGAAGACTACACAGAACAGGGCGTCCTGATTTGTCAAAACAATCATACAAAAGAGATTATTGAGTTGATTACATAGTGTTAAATACTAAACTTAACTTGAACATTTGTTTTGAGTTGTAAACAATCCTCATCAGCTGTGAAATATCACTAAAAACAACAGACATACATCCTGTGCCAAGTTCAGCATCAACATCGATCGAAACAATAATGTGAGACATAGATCGAGTTACTGCAGGGTAAAAACCATTACAATGAGGAACGTACAGAAGAAAAGTCTGACGGAACAACTAATGCATAGTTCCGGGAGGGTTCAAGAGCATTTGATATCTGACAGAACAACTAGTGCATAGTTCCGGGAGGGTTCAAGAGCATTTGATATTAAGCTGTTCCAATTGACCCTGCTGACAATAGAATGCATCGTTAGGACAAATGATTAGTTGTTCTTGACCCTGCTGACAATAGAATGCATCGCTAGGACAAATGAAGATTCTCAATTCACAAGGAGAGGTGAAGTACACGCAGAAAATGATGCAAATTGAACTCACAAGTTTACATAATGGAAGCCTATACTGAACAACCACGTCATGAAGGAGTCAATATATCAAAGATAAAAAAGGCTTTGACAGAAAACTTTAAAAGGCATCATTACTTACTTCAACAGAGGACGAAGAAGAACCTGGGTACATCCAAGAAGGAGGTGGCCAAAACAACTCAGAGTATCCTGGAAAACTACTGATAGGACCTATATTACCAGTCTCCAAATCAAACACCCCGATCCCGCCACTCTTCCCAACTCCATCGTCTTCCTTACTATGAAGGAACTGATCAGTAAACAAAATACAATTCCCTCTACAGCAGCCACCATAGTCCAACTCAGACAAATCGTAGGAAAATGTACAATTGTCCCCTAAAAAAACAATCTTGCTTCCTAAATTGCTCACTTCAACCCATCTTCCCCCACTTGTATCCAGCCTGAAAACCTTAAACCTCAAGGTCCTCTCACTCATGAGACAATCAAACTCCTCATAAGACTCAAACCCTTCTTCATTGTAATACCCCAAATCATCCCCAGCTGTGATTCCCGTATACTTGTCCACCAACAACAAGTCCCCACCATCCTCCACCAGAAACTTCTTATCCCCGCCATGAACCGAATCTGCAATCAAACTCAAAGCCGGAGGCTCTACCAGTCTACCATCAGAGCCACCAGCATTATTATTCACAGCAATATTAAGATTAACCATTACTAACCTGCCATTACAATCAACAGCATAGAATTTCCCCAAACGGGAAATCACGTCATCATAAGGAGATGACAGTACTAAATCATTAATCACGGTCCATTTCTTATCACCCGATTTATACAAAACCAATTTCCCGGAAATATGAATGGTCAAAATCACAAAGAAGCCCTCACCTTTACCACAGAAGGCAACTTTCTCCATGTAAAGATTCCCTGCATCCCCAATGTTAGTAGCCAGAGGGCGATAATTGATGTACTGAAGGGTGTACTCAAGTCCAAGCTCCCGTACATGCAAATTCATAAGGTCGAGAACCCGGGGAAAATTCCGGGGCAATGGGAACTGAGGATGGTACCGAGTTGTGAGCGGATTGAGCAAATGGGCCCGATCTGGGTTGTCCCTTTCAAGCTTGATGATCCAACCCATTTGAGGATTATTGGTGTTTGTGGATAGGAAGTAAAGGGGTCGTTTGGAGAGGTAGAAACCCCATGTGGCATCGGAGATTCCGGCGTTGGGGAGTATTGGGAAACGGGAAGGGGAGGAGCTGCGGGAGGAGGAGGCGGAGCAGCGCCAGGAGGAACAAACGGAACGGAAACGCAGGAGGTCGATTTCGGATGGGAGGAGGGTGGAGATGTAGTGGAGGAGTTCTCCGGGAAGCTGGGACCATTCGGCCATGGATTGAATGATCCGGTTCCGATTCCGATCAGGACGATATTTGGAAGTTGGGCCGCGGAAGTTTCTCTTAACGTAAGGAGGATTGTGGGGACCCACCGTAAATTGCAAAATACCTCCATCAACTTTGTGCTATTTCCAAACTATACCCTCAAAAGTAAGTAAGAGGCGGCTTCGATTTTCTTATGTTCCCTCTTTTCTGGGCTGGTTTTTTATTTTCAGCTTAACTCTCTGCGTACTTCTGGCCTGAGCTTTAAACAACCTCCCTCTGTGATCCGTAGTTGTTTGAAAGGATGTCGGAAAACGAAGAAAGAAGAAGCAAGAAGAAACCTATTTTCAGAACTTCTCCCCTTCAAATCAACGGCCAAGATGCCTCCCGCCTCGTCGGAGGCATTGTCGAGAAGGGTTTTTCATCACATGCTGCTCCTCCTCCTCCTCGCCCCACTGTCCTCCCTTTTCCGGCAGCCCGCCACCGATCCCACGGCCCAGTAAGCCTTTTCTCCCTCTTTATTGGGTTTTTTTTCCCCGTTTTGTCGAAATTTCAATTCTTGAAATGTGGGAGGGATAATTTGAACATGTTGGGCCCTTTCCGTTTTGTTATCAAAACCTTTTCTTTTTAGTGAATTTGTCCCTAAACTGAAGTTGCATTTTTCTTTCCCCCTTTTTGGTAGCATTGGAATCCAGCTGGTGGTTGTATTGGTGATGATGATTGGGATATGGATGATGTTGAAGAGGAGGGTTTTAGTGGGTATGAGAATGCTGCTGCTTTTGCTCAGCCAATGCAAAGAAAAGAAAAAAAAAGTGTGGACTTTACTAAGTGGCGTGAGTTGATGGCAAGTGACCAGAGCGGGGACTTATTGGTGTCTAAGAAGGCGAAAAAGAAAAATGCCGGCAGTATAGAAAAGACTCAAGTGGTTCCTAGATTGAATGAGAATGATGATGTACTTAGGAGGATTGAAGATGTGCAACCTCAATGTGCTTTTCCAGTCTGTGATAGAGCAGATGAAATGGATACTGATGTATTTGAATCGGTAAAAGATCCGGAGGAGGTCTCTGCTATGGTACTTGATGGTGAGCCTTCACAAAGTAATGGAATGTACAATTTGGGAACTGGTTTTGGTTCAAATCAGTTATTTAATAAAAATGTTGGTTCCACGAGTCTTGAGAGTGAAATTGATGCTGAGAATCGTGCCCGATTAGAGAGAATGTCTTCGAATGAAATTGCTGAAGCGCATGCTGAGATAAAGGCTAGGATGAGTCCTGCGTTGATAGAGAAATTGAGGAAGCGCGGACAAGACAAGTTACAAAGGAAGAAGGGTCCTGCTTCAGATACGGCTGCAAGCAGCCCACAAGTTGTTGGTAGCAGTATTATGACCAACCCTTCCGGGAGTCCTCTCAAAAATAGCTCCCCCAAGGGTGTGCCAGCATCTCAGAGCAATGTCTCCCTCAAGGTGATGACTGCTGATTCAAAAGATGCACAGCAGGGTTTAGGCAATGCTGGTCAGGTCAAACTTAGTTCAAAGAGCAGTAGTTTGTGGGAATCTTGGAGCAGAAGAGTTGAAAGTGTTCGAGAAATTAGATTCTCTGTGGATGGTGACGTTATGAAATCTGATATTTCTTATGGCGAAGGGAACTTTGGTAAGGTCAAGTTAGCATTTTTCCTTTAGTTTCTGCGCTTTTTTCCAGGATGATCATTTAGAATAACCTTCCATAATCTCGACACAGGTAATGCTTCAGCTCGTAGTGGATATAACGTCTCTGAACGTGACTTCCTTAGAACTGAAGGCGATCCCGGTGCTACTGGCTACACGATAAAAGAAGCGCTAGCCCTCACTAGAAGTGTCGTAAGTTACTAATATTTATGCCCATGACATTCCATTTCTATCTAATATTTATGCCCATGACATTCCATTTCTATTCATAGTTTGATTATTTTAAGCCATTTTTTTATAGGTGCCGGGGCAACGGGTTTTCGCATTGCAGCTGATTTCGTCCATATTAGATAGGGCAATTTTTGGACTTTATGAGAAGAAAGTTGGCTGCACCTTTGAGTTTCCTGCAACTGATGGAAATATTGATTGGGAGGCTATTTGGGCTTTTGCTCTTGGCCCAGAACCTGAGCTTGCTTTATCTCTGAGGATATGCCTAGATGATAACCACAATTCTGTGGTTCTAGCCTGTGCGAAAGCTATTCGTTCTGTGCTGAGCTGTGATCTCAATGAGAGTTTCTTTGATGCTTCGGAGAAGTTACCATGCATTCACGGTGATGTTCATACTGCTGCTGTATTCAGAACTAAATCTGACATGGATGTTGGTTTTCTTCCCGGTGGATTCTGGAAGTATAGTGCTAAGCAGTCTAATCTTGTACCTTTTGCTGATGAGGTGGATCATGAAGTGCCTGAACAAGGTGAACATACCATTCAAGATGATATTGTTGTTGCAGGTCAAGATGTAGCTGCTGGTTTGATCCGAATGGGAGTCCTTGAAAGGGTTTCCTATTTGTTGGAGGTAAGCATTAAGTTGTAGAACTAAAATCTTGAAATCTATTGTTATGAATCATGGAAGAGGACTAAGTGTTGAACAATTTGATATCAGACACAACCTTCAGCTGCATTGGAAGAGTGCTTGCTTTCAATATTGATTGCCATTGCAAGACATTCCCCATCTGCTGCTACTGCAATCCGCAAGTGCAATGGTCTTGTTCAAGCAATTGTGGACAGATTCATCTCGAAGGAGCAAATGAAAATCACTCCTTCCAAGATAAAATCTGTTATCTTCCTGAAAGTAGGTCAGCTTGAGCAGGCTTGATGCTTTTTGTTTTTCAGTTTTTTTTTTTTTTTTCAATTGGTAACCACGTTTTTTTTCACTCTGTGGGTTAAAGGTTTTGGCTAAGGTTGACAAAAAAAATTGCGTAGAATTGATCAAGATTGGAACATTCCAGAAGCTCACGTGGCACTTAGTACAATACTCTTCTCTTGACCAATGGATCAGATGTGGAACAGAGACCTGCAAACTTTCATCTGCCCTTTTGGTGGAACAGCTACGGTTATGGAAAGTCTGCATCTCTTACGGTCACTGCGTTTCTTATTTTGTGGATCTTTTCCGGTCTTGAGTGTATGGTTGAGTGTTCCTACATTCAAAAAGCTGATCGAAAATGAGGTACTTTCTGAGTTTGCTGCAATATCCAAAGAAGCATATCTTGTTCTTGAGACTTTGACTAAAAGACTTCCGAATTTTTATTCCTCAAGCCATGCTGAGGAGTTTGGCTTTGAAGAGGAAATTTGGTGTTGGAGCCGTGTTGGTCCTCTTGTCGATTTAGCCCTTGACTGGACATTGGTGAAAGATATTTCACCCATATCAAGCTTTTTAGACAACCTAAACGGAGAAAATGTGTATAGTGCATCACAGGTTTCATCGTTGAATTCGTTATTGTGGGTGATTTCTTCAGTTATCCACACTATTTCAGGTGTACTGGAAGCAGTCCTTCCTGTTGATAATAAAGACTGTAGCAGTAGTGGGTGTTTGCCATGGCTGCCTGACTTTGTCCCTAAGATTGGATTAAAGCTCATCAAGAATGGACTTTTCGTTCAATCTGTGGAAACAGGTGACGGAGGGGATTCTTTCCTACATTTTTTATGTCATCTCAGGAATAAATTTGGACTTGAAACAACATTGGCTTCTGCTTCTTGTCTTCAAGGTTTGGTCCAAGTTGCTGTTTCCGTGGATAAGTTAATCAAGTTAGCTAAGCATGAGAAGCTCAACACTATGTCATCGCACTACGCCATTATTTCAAATGACGAGCAAATTCTCACTGTTGGGTTATCCGAGTCTTCTCTGAAAGATCTAAGAGCTTTGTTTGCTTCAATCAAGCCTAATAATGTGCAGCTGATTGAGACTTTTGGTAGAGGTGGGCCTGCTCCGGGGGTTGGTGTAGGTTGGGGAGCCTCGGGTGGAGGTTTTTGGTCTAAAACCATTTTAATGGCTCAGGTGGATGCGAGATTGATCACTAGCTTGGTTGAGGTTTTTCAGAATTCCTCTGGAGAAGAGTTGTCAACCATTGAACATTTGCAGCACTTCATGCAAATGATGAATTCTACTCTTGGAGTTTGTTTGGCTGCAGGACCTAGGGATGGACTGGTAGTCGATAAACTGTTTGATCTTCTCCTCCATATTCCTGTCCTGAAGTGCCTTGATGTTGTCATGCACCAGTTTCTTTGTGTTACTGAGGGTATAAAACCGTTTGATTGGAAGTATGAAGAAGAGGATTATCAGCTTTTTTCGGCTGTTTTAGCCTCGCACTTTAAAGACAGATGGCTTTCTGTGAAAACAAAGCCTAAAGGAACGGAAGAAAGTCATCACGCTAAGATAGATGCGCTTAAGAAAGGAAATAATGTCCTTCTCGACACAATTCATGAGGAATCGGATAGTTCTCTGTGTGCAGTTTCTCTCACGCAGCAATGGGCTTATCAGAGGTTGCCGCTTCCGATGCAGTGGTTTCTCAGTCCCATTTCCATTATGCACAACAAGAAAGATTCTAGGAAAGTCGATTTTCAGCAGGAGCAGGTGGATTTAGTTGAAGTTGCAAAGGCTGGACTTTTCTTTCTTTTAGGTCTGGAATCGACGTCTGCCTTCCTTAATGCGGAATCCTGCTCGTTTATTCGGGCTGTACCCGTTATTTGGAAGTTGCACGCTTTGTCTGTGATATTAATTGATGGAATGGCTATTCTTGAGGATCAGAAGAGTAAGGATGTCTTCCGAACGCTGCAAAATATTTATGGTCAATTTTTCGATAACTTACCTATAGCGGATACGAGAGGAACTGTAAAAGCCAGTGGACTTTTGCTATTTCATTCAGAGGTGAATGAGAACTACTCTACATTTGTTGAGATGCTAGTTGAGCAATTTGCTGCTGAATCGTATGGCGACCTGGTATTTGGTTGTCAAGTCTCTGTCTATTTGCGCCGGCATGTTGAAGCTTCTGTTAAGCTTGCAACCTGGAATGCGCTGCTCAATGTTCGTGCTCTTGAACTATTGCCACCTGTCGACAGCTGTTTTGGTGAAGCTGATGGGTATCTTGAACCCGTTGAGGTAAAAATTGTCGAAGCGGTTCATATTGTCTGTGAAGATGTCTATATGCCATATCAAATTCTGGATAAGACTAACAAAGAGTACACTTTCGTTTACTGCTTTTCTATTGATATTACCATCTTAGAAGTTGCACTCGCTTCTATTTAAAAAGACCCCATATCAAATTTTGGGTAATGCTAACTGAGAGTTTATTTTCATTTACTGCTTTCAAATGGACACCTGCTGTTTCACTTGTCTTTGACGTGCAACGATTACAAGTCACCTTTGTGGCTTTCATGTGCTGTTACTTCTGCTATGGGCTCTGCCAAGTTATATAGCCTTGTTGAGCATTGCTCTTGCAGAAATGTTTTCCTGTGAAGAGAAGACGAGTGATTTCCTCTTTTTCTTTTTCCCCTTTTTATTTGCAGGATGATGAGAAGCTTCTGGAAGCTTATGTAAAGTCATGGGTTTCTGGGGGGCTTGACAGAGCAGCAAGTAGAAGATCAGTTTCATACACATTGGCCTTGCATCACCTTTCATCTTTCATCTTTGCTGATAGCACTGCCGATAAGCTATTGCTCCGTAATCAGCTAGCGAAATCTCTCTTGCGTGACTATACACGTAATGTGCAGCAGCGTCAGGTATGGGAATTCTGCTATGATTCGCAGTATACTGTTTCTCACCTCAAATATGCCTCTGTCGTTATGCTTTTTTCATTTTTATTACTATTATTTTTTCTAATATTGGTCTTGTGGGGGTATGATTGTCAGGGCATGATGATGAATTTGGTTCAATACAAGAAGAAGCCCGGTGAGGAAGGCTTTGAGGTTGGAAATAGATTACAAGTACTAAAAGATGCATGTGGAGGGGACTCCTCATTGCTGAAGGAAGTGGAAAAGCTGAAATTGTTGTTACTCAGTGAAGCAGAACTAACTGCCTGCAGGTAGTAAATTCTTTTTTCTTTTTTTTTTCGGGAAAAAAACCGCGTTTCCTTATTTATGTATTAGATATAGACATTAAGCAAAGCCTAGATCACACAAATGTTACGTCTATGACGAGTTATATTAAGTATATTGTGGCGTAGTGGTGGATTGATCGAACATTTTGATAGCTGTACAGCGATTGAGATATTAGTTGCTTGTTTGAAGATATCTTTGTAGGCGATATCTTGGCAGTTGTATTGGTAAACTGAGTTGGTCTTACATAGACGTGAATGTTGCTCTCGTTGGAAGAAGAAAATCATGTGAAGGAGTTGGTGGTGTTGATAGAATCTCGTTGGACGGGGGACGTTTCATATGGGTGCATGAATTTGTTTTCATGAAATAATGGACGTTGCTTTCATCTGTGTTTCCTTAATGGTTTTAGATAGGATAGCGTATACTCACTCCGTCAGTGCAAGAATGTTTTATTTGAGACAGAGAGATATATTATTTTATGTAATTATTTTAGTGTATATAATAATAATAAAATGAAAGTTGTTGATTAGGTGAGAGTTATAAAACCAAGAATGATGAATTGTGGATTCTCGGCCCACCGGGATGGATGAAGAGGGGAAGGGAGAGAGAGTAACACCTGAAACATGAGTTTTGGAAATGGTCCCCATCCACCTGATTAGATGCATCTTTGTCCCATGCATCATGTTTTAGTTTTCAATAGAGTGAGGAACAACAACACATTTGAAATGATGGAGAAGTTTAAATTGGGGATCACTATTGTTGCTTAAGTTGATAAGCTGTTGTAACCACAGAGAACTGTGTAGGTAGCCATTGATTAGATAGCTATAAGACAGTGGTGGAAAATAGAGCAGTATTTGGGGAAGACGAAAGCATCGCCTTATCTAATCAATGTGTCTTCTCAATTATAATAGTATTGGTAGTTGTTTTACTACCTTGGATCAAATGTTACCCCCCAAGATTGAATGATTAAAATAGAGACACCGGAAGCAAATAACAATAAAGTAGCTTCACCGCACATCCAACATGAAACGTGCAACATGGCGAAAACTAATTTAATCAATATTACAGTACACATCGAGTTTTGAGATTTGTAGATCGTTTGAATATTTTAGTATAAATTTCGAAACTTAAAAGTGGACTATTTTTTTAAAACAGACAGAATATATAATAAAAATCAGCAAGCAATCGGCTTGTATGTGTGTATATATGTTGCACCACCACTCACATTCAAACTCACTCACTGGCTACCCTCCATTGTGGTGGATTCATTTCTATGTTCCAAACAACGTAGTATTATATTTGTCATTCTTCCATGGGAGACATAGGCGACGAATTAAGCGCTCCAGCTCCAGCTACCACTAAGCATCAACATCAACAAGAAGCAGAAGCAGAATCAGAATCAGAAGCTGAAATTGAGATATGGAGATACGTGTTCGGATTCACGGAGTTGGGGGTGGTCAAATGCGCGGTGGAGCTAGGGATCGCCGACGTACTTGAATCCCAACCAAACAAAACTATGTCTCTGCTCCACCTGTCTTCCACCCTCCACTGCTCACCTCCTCATCTCTACCGCATCCTCCGCTTCTTAACCCGCCGCCGCATCTTCCGGCAGCTCCCCCCTCCCGACGGCGACGGTGACTGGATGCAATGCTCATACGCCCAGACGCCTCTGTCAAGGCTTCTGAGGAGGACAGGGGAGAAGAGCATGGCGGCTTTCATACTCTTCGAGAACAGCCCGCCCATGCTGGCACCTTGGCAAAACTTGAAAGCCCGAGTGGTGGAGGGGGGAGAAGCCCAAGCCCCGTTTGACACGGCCCACGAGGGGCTAGACGTTTGGGAATACGCGCGCCATCATCCGGAGCACAGCCAGCTGCTCAACGACTCCATGTCCTGCGACGCCAGGATGGCGGTGTCGGCCCTCCTGCAGGAGTGCCCGGAGGTGTTTGATGGGATCGGGACGCTGGTGGACGTCGGAGGCGGGGACGGCACCGCCCTCAAGGCCATCTTGGGCGGCACCACCATTAAGAGAGGCATCAATTTTGATCTCCCACACGTGGTGTCCGCAGCCGCCGCGGCGACAGCTGATTGGGGTGCGAAGAGGATACAACATGTGGCCGGAGACTTCTTCAAACTCGTTCCCTCCGCGGATGCTGCTTTCCTAATGGTTTGTTGCTCCCTCCGTTACCCTCTGTCAGTTCCAAAAATTTCATAACTGAGTAAATACTATGTACAATATGACACATTAATTATGGAAACTCTTAACAACTAATTACTAAATCCTATCTACTAATATTACAACTCTTCTATCCCGAAATTATTATCCAGTTTAAATTTTTAGTTTTAATACAAATTTAAATTTGACCATCCATCACTGAAATGGCTTCGAAAACACAATATATATATATATATATATATATATATATATATATGGTAAACCTCTAATCACTCAATACGCGTACGCAGTGGGTGCTGCATGACTGGGGAGATGATGAATGCATCAAAATACTCAAAAACTGCAAAGCCGCACTTCCCCCACTCACTGGCAAAGTTATCATCTTGGAGGCTGTCATCGACGACCACCACCACAACGGAGAACAAGCCCGAAAAGGAAGCGTAATCAAGCAGCTTCAAGATGTTGGTTTGATGCTGGACATGGTCATGATGGCCCACACCACCACCGGCAAAGAAAGGACAGCTTCCGAATGGGCCTTTGTTCTGGACCAAGCTGGTTTCTCACGCCACACCATCAGGCGCATTCCTGCTGTTCAGTCTCTCATTGAGGCCTACCCTTAGAAAGTTATTTTTTTCTCATATAAAATATTAGTGGGCTCTCTGCCCCTTGTGCTGTGGTTGGTTGATCTTTGATGTTTTGCCGATTTAGTTGTGTTGCCGACACGAGCAAGTAGTAATAGTAGTACTCCATTTGTTGTAATCTTCTCGGTTACTTATAAAAAAATTAATCATGATATTCCTCGTTTATTTAGTGGTCAAAAAGCATAAAGCGCGAGGGATTACAGATTCATAATGAACATCAAATTACTCGTGCAATCCATAACATTGGTTTGATTCCAACAACTTGCTCATTATTGCCTAAACAACAAATAGAAATGCTTGACAACAAAGAGTTCCACTGATTCCAACATTTGGGACAAAATGCACGGTGTATAGTAATAATATGTACAAGTACAACAACACACATATTCTCAATGGACCAATGCAATTCCATGAATGACAATTAGCACAACCTACATAGGTAGTATTTCACTGTTTTCATAAGAAGTATATATAACCAAATGTGACTAATAAGTAGTAGTAACAACAATCAAGTAAAACCAAAATTCAAAAACCGAACAAAAAATTAATAAAAAGAAATGATACTCCTATATAGTACTAAAGTATAATTCTTGCTTATCTATGTCTATCATCATCACATGACGACACATGCATTGGTGTTTTCGTCACTGAAGGCGGTGGTGTAGCGAACTTCGGTGGAGCTAGCACGTGCGAGCTGGGAGGCCTGGGGGTTATCATACACATTTCTGACATAGCCGGGGGGAGCCTTGCGGTCGTAAACGCCCTGAGCATAAGGGTGCTCCACGACGTCGTAAGGGAGGTAAGGCCACAACTCCGCCTTCTTGCCGGTGCGGTGAATGATACGAGACACCACCTTGCTGGGCTCAACGTACCCAACCACGGTGACCTTGCTTTGTTTGGGCTCGATTTGGACTGAGCTCACCCCTTTCATTCCCTCCACGGCCCGCCTCACTTTCCTCTCGCAACCCTCGCAATCAATCTTCACTTTGATCTCCACCGTCTGATCAAACCAACAAACAGGGGACCCCCAGCCCAAAATAAGAAAATACAAATCAAATTGAGTTGAGCTGTTAACGTCTCCAAAGCTAAACTGGACAGCCCCATTTTGCGTAAAAAGAAAAAGGAGGTAGTACAAATTTCTTTTTTGTTATTGTATAAAGTAAAGGGAGGGACAATCATAGAGAAGATTTTGGCAATAGTAGAAGTAATCCTTACAAATTTTGAAAATGAGGAATGAAAAAGGGACCCACTTGGGTTTGTTTTTGTTGGCATTGGGACAACTGACGTTATAAAGTTGAAATTTGCGGTGATGTATACTTATTAAAAATTATACTAACATAGAGGGCAGCAGTTCCATCATGTTACGTTTTCTTTGAAAATAGCGTCCGAATCAAAATGAGATGTCTGTGCCAACAAGATGCATGAACACTATCTATCATTCACAGTTTCCAGATGCTGAAGCCGATTTGATGAGAAACACAGATAGATCAAACAAGGCACAAATTGAAGTAAGAATTATTTTTACCAAAAAGAAAGGGACAACTTCACTCCACAATCAGAGCTACAAAACTGACCACAATATTTTAATTGCTCAGTTGACACAAATTGAATTAAAATACTCTCTCTACTTTTCTCAGTTCTACAAAATAGAGTTATGGTGTTACTGACTTACTGCAGCACAACTTTGCACTTCAAACAAAGACAAAACAATCGTCAAATTCAGGTTGCGGAGCAAGAAGGTAGCTAAGCTAATTAATTGGCTGATTCCTACTGAAAAAAAAAAACAAAAGAGGAACCAGAAAGTGCAGTAGCAGGCAGAAACCCAGAAGAGGGGAATCGTTTACCCAAGGCAATAGGGTCAAAATTGCAGGCCAGCAGATCTGAGGTCCACCCAAACTTCATATCATCCTAAACTAAACCACTCCTCCAGAAGGGGGAATTAATTGATAAACAATTACCCAATCATGATTGAGCGCAACAGTAAATAAGTACTATTCGTTTCAATAAATGGATTGGAGAGATAAAACATTGAAATGAAAGAATGGCTAAAAAAATTGAAGCAGAGGACTTGCCTGCAACTGCTTGCGTTTCTTGAACTTACGGCTGCTACCTCCGGAGCAATCAAACATATTGGATAGATGATCCAGTGCTCCCATTTTCCGCTAACTTCCTTCTTCTTCCCCACAACTACTAACCGGTAATCTTTCCCTTTTCCTGTTTCTCTTTCTCTATGTATGATTTAGATACAGTTGAAATGGCTAAAGCTATATATGGTGTCTGTAAGCGGTACTCGAAAGAAAAATAATGGGAGTTTTTATGATTGCTAGATTTTGGATATTAATTAGAGTATACGATAGACTCAAACCCATTCGTCCTTTTCTCCCTTGTACAGTGTATATATATAGAGAGTTACATGACACTATAAAACGGCTACCTTTTATTTATTTTAAAAAAATTTTGGCAACCTCAAATTAAAAAAATAAAAAATAAATTAAAAACAGCTACCTCTAGCTAGATTTTCGTTTCTTTAATTGCATATATTAACGCAATGAATGAATCACTTAGTCCCAAAATCAAAATGATTGTTTAATTTAAAATTTTATGTTTTTTTAGTACAATTTTTGTTGAAAGTGAAAATTTATGTGAGTCACTTTAAAGTTTAAACATGTGGAGCTCTTGTATCCTGTGGTATCAGAGCCATCAGCATGTTGGCAATCAACACCCACCCCCAAAAAACTATTAGATTATTACAAGGTATTTTCATTTATTCCAAATTTTACTTGGTAAAAATTATATTTTTATATTGATTGTATTCTTTTAATTATTAAAAATTATTTTTAAAATTTTCTTTCAATTAAAAACACATATTAAATAAAATTTAAGATAAATCACAATGTTTTATCATTATAATAAATAGATTTGTTGGATAGTCACATACTAATTTATATGATTGACGAAGAAATAGATTTGTTGGGTAGTTACAATATGTCAATGCCGCGTGAGAGCAATTTTTTTTTTTAATTTTTTATTTGGTGAATGAACTAAAACAAAATGAGGAGACTAAAAATGTGGCTGAAACACAAACAAACGAGGAAATAATACACATAAATATCTGACGGGGAATGAATATTCAATTGTATTGTTTAACAGGTGGGTTATGGGTGGGTGCGTGGGGCAGCGGAGAGGATACCAGAACATGGACCGACCCACCGACCCATACCCTATTTACACTGTTCCTACTACTACTGCTTCCCGGGAGGAGGGAAAGGGGACGGGCAAAGTCAAACTTGATTACTTGAGCCTTTTAACTAATTTTCTCTTCAATCGAGATGTGGAAAGCCTTCCATGAAATTATCATTTTGGTGGACTGAAAGTGTGTGACGTCGGTGCTATATGAGTGGATCGGTTTCAAAGGCCTCGTTTTTGCATTGGGCCTTTTCTTAGGTTGGGGATACAGTTTATAGCCCGGATACATCTCGATAATAGCGCGTCTCTTTTTTATTTTTATTTTTTATTTTTTGACTGGAAAGAGCATGAATGCGGTCGTTTATTGAAGCAGTTCGAGAAGTATTTAGTTTTCGTCAATGGAAAAGAGTTAGAAAATGGTGGTATAACTATGGAAAAATTCTCTAGTGTAGTTTGTAATTTTAATAGCACCATACAATCATATGATAGCTAACTAAAGATTAACACTTGTATGCGAATTATAAAAAAATTTCCAATTATCAGGATCAACGGATTATTTTGAACGGATAAAACACTAAGATATAGCCTATGTAATGGCTTAAGCCATGGCCTAATGGTGGCTCATGCCGTGGCTTCCATTGTTTTTTATTATTATTAAATGTAACAACATCTCTATTAAAAATAGATTTTAATACATTATATGTTATGTGATAAGATTTGTATTTTAGTTTCTTATGAGATATATGTATGGCACTTTGTAATTGTTTCGTATAATACTATTGTCATAGTTTTTAAGTATAACATAGTACTATGTTTAATGTCATGACATATGCGCGGAAGTATTAATATTGGAAAGTCAAAAATATATTTTTACAAAATATGCTAAAGAATTCATAGTAATTTATAGCTGAACATCAATAAGGAATACGCAAATATAATATTTTCTCAAAAATACACGTAATGAAATCTCTTTAATTTATTATATGATAAACGACTTGGTTACGTGGAGCTCCGGTATAATGACACAGATATGTACAATTACCTCAACTACAAATTACGTTTGAAATCATGGATATAGTAATATGTGTATATTTTGATAGATATATAAATTCAAAATACTTATTTCAATGACCTATGATTAGAAAATAAAATGAATACTATAGAATCGGTTTAACTGGTGCTATAGCTAGATTGGCTTCAAATAAACTTCCCTTTTATAGTGCATGGATCATATAAGCCATTAAAACTCCAGGGTCAATTTTTTTAGAACAATAAAGGTCACTTTATCTAAGCTTATGTAGAGTATAATTGTTTTTTTTTTTTTTTCATCTTTTATACTTTTCATATAGCCAGCAAATTACTTATATAACAGTGTTAAGTCTCATGCATCATTACTTAAATTCCATTTATTTACAAAAATAAATTGAATAGTACTAGCCCCATTGGGTATCGCTATAGTGAACCTAAAGAAAATTATGAATTGATTTATTCATATAAAATATAGTAAAATAATGTTTACAAGATATTATTGCTAGAAATGATGTGTTCATGATGAGATTAAAATATGTTAACGGAAAAGAAACTTTTATGTAAAATAGTCCATTATATTTTAATCGTGTGTTCGAGATAATTAAAGATTAGTTTGTAAAAATGAGTTTCTCAAGGAATAAATTTTTAAGAAAATAAATTTTCAAAAAAATTGGCCACTAAAAGCTCATCAATTGATTTAAAATTAATTTGTGTTACTAGTCATTCGTAAATGGCTATTTTTTAATTATCACGAAAATTTATATATATATATATTGTGAGTTCGAACTTAAAATTTTGTTAATTTAGTTTTTCTTTTTACATTAAATGTCTGTGAAGCAAGATTTTTTTTTTTTTTTGGGAAATTTTTATGACTACTATTAACCCACATTCACTCTTCTGGCTTTAGAGAAATTAATTTTGCAATCAGAAGTGATTAATAAGGATTTTCACAATTATGGACGTAATGATGAAAAAGAGAAATAATTAATTACTTTATAGCAAGCATAAATGAAATACTAAATCATACGAAACAATTATTCACGGACAATCGAAAGTGTATTGGTTTATACCTAAATACGCAAATAATAAATTAAATATAATATCAAATTTAGAAATTTAAACATCATAAAATTAAAGCAAAAACTCTTGAGAATCGTTATCATTGGAAATGTCAAGTAAAAAAAAGAAAACATACGAACTACCAATTAATGCAAACATGTAACAACTCTTGAGAACTATATAAAGAATTATGGGGTGGGAAGGACTGATGAAGAGCAAACGTAAAACTTATCAACTGGAGTTGTGAATTCGTGAATTGCAGAAGTCAATTTATCAACTGATTCCTGGAGTTAATCAACTTGTTGTATCGATTCATGTTGCGACTCGTGTGATAGAATATCTTTATCACCATCATAAGAGATATCTTTATCGTTTGAAGTCATCATCATCGATGAATGAAAGTTTTCTTTGATGTTTTAAGCAATTGCATAACTGTCACAATCTATGTTATGGCATCGAATTAATGTAAACAAAAATATATCGAAATCATGGCTAGAGCCATGACATTGTGTAATTTGTTGTTAAATAGTTAAATTGATATGTATTATCGGTTGCTCATTTATGACTTGGAAGGCCACGATTTATTTATTTTTTAAATCAAAGGGTTATTATGAATCTAACGGCGCCATGCAGTCAAAATCGCAAAAAGGCAGTATGGTTCGCATAACTATGGCATTTGCTTCATACTTCATAGACTCGTTTGGGTGGGCACTGAAATGTAAAAAACCAATGCCAATCTTTCTTTTGCGGTGCTTGGAAAAATGAACTGTCCAGTAATTCGCGCAGATAAAAATAATGCACGCTTCCCCTTCCATGAACCTCCTATTTTTATAATTTTATTCCGAAATACTACTCCCTAGTAATCTACAATAATATATATATCAAATCATGCATATTACTGCAAAGAACTGTTCTTCATTTTGGGAAGTACTCCCTCCATTTCAAAATATAAGTCACTTTGAACTTTGCACATAAACTAAGAAGATAATCATTTAACAATTAATTTTTATATTAAATATTTATTTTATCTCTTATTAATTACATTAAAATTATAAACGATTAAATAAAAATATACTGACATCATTTTTTGAAGGTAAAATTGAAAAATAATCATTAATTTGTCTTGAAATACTAAAACGACTTACATTTTTAAATATTTCTTCAAGTATAAAATGACATACATTTTTTGAAATGGAGAGAGTATATGTACTCAAATTCCAATATTTCGAAAAGCCAAAAACTCTCACTTAAGAAAATTGACCAAAATCAAATCTTTATTTTCCCCTCAAATTGTTCCCGGCTTCTTCCCATTGGAACGTAACGTAGTAGTAGTAACAAATACCCAAAAGGCAGGTTGGCGTAAATGGATGAGCAAAATTGCATGTGTTTTTCGATAGGTAAAATCCAAATCTGCAGTACAGTACTGTTTTTTTTTTTTTTTTTGGAAAATAAGTACAGTACTGGTACTACTTAGTAGACTGAAGACTCGTCTATGATTTTACCTAATAATATTGCTGCATTGCTTTCGTTTTTCAATTCAATTCGGCCGTTTGTCTCACAGCTAGTCTCAACTTTTTCAATTGTTCACCTATTCCAATGTCTTTAAAAGGTAAAACCCTCCTGAATTCACCACCACATCAATACCACTTACTACTACATTTCGGTTGATTGATGAGGAGTAGGAAGTAGGGCTGATAAAAGAAAGAAAAGCTAACTGGCAACGACAATCAGGCTGATATAAGATACTAGTCTGATCTCAGGGCTGACACATTGCGGTTTGACCCATTTAAATTTATTTTAACCCACCTAATAAAATGGGGAGGAAAAAAATGCAAAAAGATATTCCATCCGTCCTGTAATTATTGTTCAATTTGAAATTTTATTTTTTGTTGAAATTATACTAAAAATAAAATTTCAAACTACACAATAATTTTGAGACAGAGGGAGTAATTCAGCTTCTAGTTCTTGTCCAAAATTGACTCCCCAGGTCATTTATGTCTGCCAAATTGTGTGTGTACCGCATAATTCCACTGATAAGTAACCTACGTACCAGTCAAACTACTGCTAATCTAGGCTTGTCTCCTTAAAAAAGGTAGAGTCAGATCAGCGTCAACAAATAAAAATAAGCGAAATAAAAGTCTAATTAAGTAAGGGAGCATAATAGTTAATGAATCCTAGCTAGTAAAAGAGAACTTGAAGAGAAGACGTGGGGAGGACACCACACAAGGGGCAACAACCAATGAAAGGCACGCAATGAGAGCAACAGCAAAGGTGCCTACATGGCAGCAATATCACGCACGCACTTCGACCCTTGCATCTCCTGCATTTATTTCTTCCTTCTGCGTCCCCGGTACCCGTACAGCATGATTCTGCATCCTCCACCACCGCGGCGCCGCCTTCCTGCCGTTGGCATTGGAGCTGTTGAATGGTGTGGTTGACAGAGGTTATGACCGCCTCGTTTTGTTTGGCCACCCTTTGCCACGATGCATTCTGGGCCTTGATCCCTTTCAGCAACTGCTCCAGTTCCACCATCCGATTCAACCCTCTGGCGATTTCTTCGTCTTTCTGTTGGAGTAATGAACGGGCTTTCCTTTCGTACCACTTTATGATTTCCCCCAGCTCATGCTTCCTCTGCTCTTGCACACCCCTTCTCAATCGCTCGTACTGTGTGTGTGTGTTTTTTAAAAAACGTTTTCGTGCCAGTATTCACCAATAAATTAAAATAGAAAATAAGATTAGAAAAAAAATGCTGGGAATTTGGTTTGAAACTAAGGAGGTGATTACCTGTAGAGTGAGTAAGAGGTCCGTCTCTAATTGATGAGCCTCCATCTGGGCCGCCACCAAATTTGGATTTGGTGCTATTAACGGGCAAGGACTAGAGACAGGGTTGCCGGGATTAATGTGGTTTGAGGGGAAATCTTGCATGTGGGCCGTTGGCTTTGGTGGTCGGAATCCGGTTGCAACCCCAAAATCAGGAGTGGAATGGTGATGATGTGGGGACAACAAATCTGGGTTGATACCGCCCAAAGAGAATCCAGGATGATGCAGCCGCAGCATGTTATTCGTATCAGAAGAAGAATACATGTGCCTACCTTGAACCTCCATCTTCTTTGATGTGTTTTTTTTTGGCCCTTTTAAAAAGTTGGCTTGTATTTTCAGATTTCACATCATCAAAGAACCGACAATAGAAACAGGGGATGAATTGAGGGATGAATGGATTTGTTGTTCTTGATGACAGCTATGAACGAAGGAATCAAAAAAAAGGAAAGGGGGGTGAACGGTAATCGATGTGTTTTGTACGATGGATCAATTCGGGGGATGACCAGTCCGGAGTCGCTACTTACTATCTATCAGAACTGATGATGATCATATACTACATTGGTAGAACGTTTTGGGGGAACAGAGCATGAATCAAAGAGCACACACAACGACAAAAATCAACGAACAGAGAAAGGAACAGAGGTGGCGGAAAGGGCTAAAAGAGTTGGAAAAAGACAGAGGGGGTGGGGCTTCCTTAATCCTTGTGCTGCTTTTTTTCTGGGATTGATTTTTTTGGGTTGGGACTGGGGAGATGGTGAATCATCATCATATAATATGTAAATTGTATTTACTCTATCTTTTGATGATGATGATGATTAAATTAGAGATATAATTGGTGAATTTATTTTATTATTAGTATATGTCGTAAAGAGAGAAAGATGTAGAGGGGGTCATGAATCTTTAAGGATTCTGTCCTGTCCATTATTATCACTCGCTTTCCCTATCTTTCTGTCCTCCTCTTCTTCTTCTTCTAACCTACCCGGTAAATTTCTTTTTTTTTTTTTTTTGTTTTCTGTTGGCAATAAAAAGAGGGAAAAAGAAGGAGAGATAACAATACGGAGGGGTAAGGTTGGGATTTGGGAGACGGACCAGTCATGCAAAGTCATCTCATTCATTCATTCATTCATGATCGATTCAGTGTTTCCTTTTTTTGATTTGGTGTGATTGCGTTTACTAACTGTTGCCTTGCCGTTATTGTGCTGTTCCCCTCTTTCTCCCCTTAGTCAGAGATTTTGCTAGGCGTTTGTTTGTTTCTGCTCTTTTGTTTGGTTTGGTTTGGTTTCGATTCTCTCAATCAATTACTTTTATGACACACGAAATTGAATGACATGGTGTTTCCCCCTTTTTATTTTCCAAAATCTTTTTTAAAAAATTAACAAGTTGTAGTATTAATATAATTCTACTAGTCGTTGTGCACGGGAAAAAAAAATTGATTTGTTTTATCGGCGGGATATTTTTAGATTGTGATTGGAAAAAAAAAAAATTAAAGAAACGTACCAGTAATTTGGAAATATGAACTTTCTTCTCAACATCTCACATTCAATTCCAATCTTACAAATCCCACACACAATTTGGCCAAGTTTGGAAGCACTGACTTGTCAGATTTCTGGACCATTTTCTTTTTTTTTTTTGGGTGGTCCGGTCCGGTCATAATCTACTTCATCCCTCAATTACTACTACTATCTTCGTGTAATTTCCTAACCCTGCCTGCCATTAGTCTTGCGTTTCTTTGTTTGATTTGTTAATAACATAAATTGGCTATCGCGTCATCAATTTTGATAACATTACAAAACCACATTACATTATGTAACAAGCAATACTGCGCCCATTTAGTTAGGCTCCCTAATCAATTTCACAATTCCACATCCCACCTGCCTACTTTTTTTTTTTTTATATAATAAATAAAAAAAAAATGTATGGTACTTGCCTTTGTCATACTCGTCAACTTACACCATTTTGCAGTTTCTAGTTTGGACTACTTTGTACTCTTCATTAGCAAGTAATTTACTCTCTTACTAAAATGAACTACACGTCACATCCCAGTAATTTACTACTAATTAACACCATATAAACCTGATTTTAGTCAGTCAGAGTGTGAGACTCGGACATGATTGATGTCGATTAAAGCTTTTTTACACTAATACTATTATTTCTTACCTAAAGTTTGCCCAAGTGTATGACAATCCAAATGGAGATGATATATTCACATCATATTCCCATCTTACTCTTGCCTTTTTTTAATGGACACCAAAATTATGTTTAAAACCTTGAAAGGTTTGATATATGAAGATCATGTAATATATTTGTTTGCATTTGGCTACATCTGCTTAACTACTGGTAGCAGTAGTAGTAGTAGTAGTAATGCTCATTTTAAAAAGCTGAAATCCATGACCTTTAGAACCATCGCACCAGGATACCTTGTTCCAGGTGAGCTGCTATTGATGATTCCTTCTGCTATTGATGATTCCTTTTAGATGCCGGAATTGCACTTAGCTCCCCTGAATCCATTTCATGCCGTGGGCCTACTGACGATATGTGTATCAGTAGTATATGTAATGTATTTTACTATCATTCAATAAACCAAGTAATTACAAGTCTCCAACTTCTGAATCCACACTACACGTTCCTCCGAGCGTCGCCATCCCCTGTTCAATTCATCTCTAACCATGAATATTGTTTGTGGCTTGTTTTGGTTTATTACTATATAACATCACTAAATAGTGAGGATAACTTCCTTAGCCGCATCATCCCCCTCGCAATCAAATGAGAAAAAATGTACCAAAACGAATTCAACTCGGCTCTCCGTCAATTAGCACCCCTACCCCAGATGATCAGTTCTCACAATTTCTGAGCAGCAAACTTAATAATAATAATAATTAAGGACCAAAAATTCATTCGAGCATAAACAGCTACAATTGCATGAGTTCTTACTTCCAATCAACAACATCTATCCCTCTTCTCATTAACTTGCTTTCTAAAATTCGACGAAAACCAATGGAAACAATACCCTCACACCACTTGGTACTTTAATACAGGCTAAACCCAAAAAATTGGCTAATCACAATTGCAAACCCTAAAGCGATTGCTATCAGAGATGAACCCCAGGTGAGCTTCTCTGTTATCCTGGGAATACGTTCCTTTAACGCCTGGCTGCACGACCCTATCAGCACCGTGTAACTACCCATTGCAATCACCGTTCCAACCAAGAACATGAATAAAAAGGCTGCGCCTGCCAACCGGGAAGGCAATGCGAGCGCAGGCAAGATCACAATCAGCGCATCTGGTTGCAGCCCGTGAACGATCCCCGTGGCAAATGTTGCAAAACCTATCTTCTTCTTCCCTATCGTTGTTGGCTTTTCCAAACCAGCTTCATACACGCTGACGTCACACTCGCCATTTTCTAGGGCGACACATGGAGTAGGGACTTCTGAGGCCTCCTTTATACCCATTGCACCAATGACCATAAGGGTAAGCCCAACCACTCTTGTGCCCCAAGTTCGGATTATCTCAATGTGGAGCCGGTCCTTAAGGAGTAGAAAGATCAAACCAAAAATCACCTGCCCAGCATCATGCCCGCAGCCCCAAAGAGCTCCAACCACAGCACTTTCAATCCTTGTGCGTCCAATAGAAAGTGGAGCTAAGGCAGCAAGGTGGTCGGGCCCAGATAATGTGTGCAAGCAACCAGCTAAGAAACCGGTCCAAGCGCTATTCAGTAGTTCACTGCGTAACACCTGGCTACCCGCTGCTACAGCCGGACCTCCAGTGTTGGTTGCGCCAACAAAACTCGCAAAAGCTGGTAAAACTGCGAGTGGATGGATTACCGTAATGAGGATAACTGAGAGTAATACTACAGTCCCGGCAGCAACAACCTGAGATCAATTTAAGAACAACAAAAACTCATGTCCTCTAATGCACTAGGCTACAGCACTACGATGGAAATAGAACAAACAGAAACAACAAAAGTCATATCAATTCAAGCCGTATCACAAACATTGAGGGCATTAAGATACATGAGGGCAAACTCCCAGTTCACATATGAATACTTGACTGGAGAAACTGGAGTTAAGAAGTTTATGATAACGTGGCTCAGATTTATGGCAGAAAACTAGGATGCTGTAAAGTTATACTGGGTGGAGCAAAAGCAAAATAAAGAATCATGATCCTGGGAAACCAAAAATGCAGTTCAAGTAGAGCAATTGTAACTATTGAAGCAGTATAAAATAACTGCACTAAGAGCCCCACATAATCACAAGCCACAGGAATTGAACCGCATTCTGACATGATATCACTAAGTGCTTGAATAAGTAACTAACATCATGTTCAAGGGATGTAAAACATAGTTAAGAAGACTGAGTTCTTCAGAAGTGCTAGAACCTATTCAAGCAAAACCACTGTCTTCTCCAAGTCATTCAGGTCTAAGTCTGCTGTAAAAATCAGAATCAGGTAAAAAAAATCCGAGCAAACAATTATCAGTTAAACTCTCCAAACATATAGAAATTCCCCTGCTTGGCTCCACAAATCAGACTAAAGAAGCAAAAGCAATAGTCAAATTCAGAAGCCTTTAATCTCCTTGATGTATAACTGCGTAATCCACAGTGCATTGATGGTATACCTCCCTGAATTCAGTCTGGCAACTCTCAGCCCACTTATACTTTTGATCTCCTTACACAACAAAGATTGCAGCTCTCTGCTCCTTACGATTGAGTTACATAGACCAGATCTCATCTCATCATAGTGTAGAAAAGTTTTCACTTTTCAGTTCAAACACATCTTAACTTAAAAGATCACAAAATTTAGTTAGCCTATCCTTGTCTCATCAGCCCTATTACTTAAGAAAGGCACCATATAATTCATTCGTCTCAAGTCAGCGGCTAAAGCTACTACTTTCCTAATAAAAACCCACAATCCCAACAAAGTAAATTAAGTGCTACCTACTTAAAACAAGCAGAAGCTAAGCAGAATTAGAAACAAAGTTGGCATTTTTACAAGCCAAAATCCCCAGAAGTAGTGCCATACCAAAAATAGTAATGATAATAATATTCGTAACTAGAGAAAAAAGCCCAGGAAAACCAATACCTTTGTCCGCTGCCCAGCAAGTGCTTCCACAAATTTGCCCAGAATAGGGGTTTTCTCGACAGACCCATGTCGGGAATCAGCCGATGAAAAGGAGGTGAAATCATCAGACCCGGAATCCTCTTTATCCTTAGAAGCATAATTAGGGTAATTAGAAGGAGAAGAGGAGCAACAGGACAATGGTTTAACTCGGGGCCATTGGAGAAGCCGCGGGGAAGGAGGAAAGAAGGTATTGAAATTCTTGGAAGGGGAGACGGCGGAGTTGGTGGAGGTGAGGCGGAGGGAGGAGGGAGGAGGCAGAAACGGGACGTGGTGGTGTTTAAGGAGAATTTTAGAGGAAGGAGTAGGATTGGAATAGATAAGCCTCTCCATAAAAGCTTGTTTCAGTTGTTCTTCCTCCTCTGATTCTGGTTATTTTAGCAAGAAAAAAAAAATAAAAAGGAAAAGGAACCAAAGAATCTGGGAATCCTAAAAGTGAAATTGGGGGTATTTTCTCAATCAGCAGAAATCGGGTGGGTTTGGTAGGTGGGGCTTGGTGGTAAATAGGAACAATTGCCGCAGGAAGAAGTGTCTGAATGGAAAGAAGATAAGCAAAAAATTCTTTTCAGTGCCAAACCAAACCCCCCCACTCTCTCTCTAATCTCTATTTCTCGCCTTGTTGGCAGTAAGTAAAAACTACTACTACTACTTCTGACTTCTGTAGGAGTATTTTTAATTTTAAACTCAGTCCTCGTCGTCCTCCTCCTCCTCCCTGCTTGGCTGCTTTATTATCTTTACTAACTTCGACTCTTGTTATTTCCTTTTTCACTTCGCACAGCGAAACTACTACTACTTCTTTTCTAGTTTATTCACACTGAAATTTTGCTGCGTAACTTTATGAATCCTTTAAAGACTACTCCATTTCACAACTACATTTATTCACACAAATTATAAATTTTACAATCATTATTAGGAATAAAATTACAATCATTACTCTAATGCATTAATGGAGAAGTATATGATTTTATTTTTTTGGGGGGAAACATTTGGATAAGGAGCACTATGGGATGAATAAATTTATTCATGAAAAAAAAAGGTAACAAACAGTTGAAAAAAAATAGTGGCTTTTGTGGAGTACTATGACCATCTATTTTGTTATTACTTTTCCCGTTAAAATTTTTATTTCTCCTCTGAAATCATATTTTTATCCCTAATTAATTAATAGGTACACATTAGTCATTATGAAATTTTCGCTATATTTTTTTTCACTGTTTTTATTATTGCTCTATTTTTATTTTAGATAATTTGTTCCAAAGACATAACAGGCTCCACTTACAAACATCGCCTTATATAACTAATTAAAGTGAGCCAAACAATTTTTATTTTTATTTTTTGGTTTCCTATAAGTGGCCACAATAGATATACATGCATGATTCATCGGTTATACTCTCTTTATTCTAATTATGAGACATAAATTTAAACTAAATTAGTGTTAATTTGTGCTTTATAATCACCACTAGTAATAACTTACAATCAAAACTTTTGATTCATTAAATTTAAAAGTTTTGCGGAAACTTTTATGAAGGGGATGTCAAAGAATGGGTATTAGGGAATGTAACCCATTTTTCTAGTAATTTGGGCTGTAGTGCTACCTAACTAGTAGGCCTTAAATTGAACCTCTGACACCAGTTTGCATTAGAGAAAGCCTCAAAAGTCCAAACATACAGAATGTGGTTGTGGTGAGGCAACGATCCAAAACATTTTGAAGGATTGTGATCCACTCAGTTGGACTCGGACTTGCTTATAAATTGTCCACAATAATTTTCAACAGCCCGCCAAAAGTGCTAGTATAATAAATTTCTATAATCATTTACCATATTAATAATTCAGTTGTAGTACTAGTCTTCCACTCACTACTAAGTACTAATAACAAGGCTACCTGGTTTTTCCGCTTTCTTTCACTTAAGGAAGATGTTGTAAAGGAAGCATTAACTCAAGCAGTTTGAAGGTTTTAAGACACTTTTCTAAAATGGATTTAAGTTTGTGTGTATTATAGCGCGATTTATAGCATATTCATACGGAAAGAAAAACAAATAGTAAAAAAGAGGTGGATAAAGAGGCTATCTTACGTGTCAACAACAGGGAGCAGCATTATCTGATTGATGATGCAGCAAAAGAACGAGAGGTCCAAAACTTCATATCCCTCCCAAGTATTCTTCTTCTTTTTTTTTACCCCCCACACTCATCCACTTACTTCATCGCTCATCCTCCACCGCTCCTTTTATTACCATCGTTGATCCATCCAGTTACCGTGACTCATTTTACTGTTTACATTTTATCCTTGTCACCTGAGAGCCATATATTACATTTTCCCACCCACAAATCAACTAAAGAGAAGGAAGTCCCGCCCTTGCAATTTTTAGGCAGCAGTTGAAGTGTGGTGTGATCATGGCAAAACCAGTGCAAATTGAAGTGTGGAATCCAAATGGGAAATACAGAGTGATCAGTACCAAGTCCATGCCTGGAACTCGTTGGATTGATCTCCTCGTTCAGCAAGATTGCCGCGTCGAAGTAATCTTTTTTTCCTTTTCCTCCCCATTTTTCCAAACATACATACATACATACTGTTGTTGTTGTTGTTGTTGTTGTTGTTGTAACATAATGAATGTTTGTTTGTTTGTTTGTTGCAGATATGCACACTCAACAAAACCATTCTGTCTGTTGAAGATATCATCGCTCTCATCGGTGATAAGTGCGATGGAGTCATTGGACAGGTATGTTAGTATCTTCCCACTCTCTCCCGCCCCCTTAATTTTTCCATACCCATATCCTTTTTTAGAGAATTAATTCCATGTGTGTTTTTCCAATCCAATACTTACTTGGATGTTTGTTGTTAGCATCATGTTTGATTGCATAGAATGGTTGGGTTTTGGTTCTGATTATGCTTTCATGATTTTAGTTGACTGAGGACTGGGGGGACACATTGTTCTCTGCATTGAGCAAAGCTGGTGGAAAAGCATTCAGCAACATGGCTGTTGGGTACAACAATGTTGATGTTGATGCTGCCACTAAGTATGGTGTTGCTGTTGGAAACACTCCTGTGAGTACTTATCAGCTTTTTTCAAAAAAAATTGTTATCCCATAATCGGAATCAATTTTTTTTAGGCAATTTTTCTAATTCCTATTTTATGGGTTTCAGGGTGTGCTGACAGAGACTACAGCAGAGTTAGCAGCATCACTTTCCCTGGCTGCGGCTAGGAGAATTGTTGAGGCAGATGGGTTCATGAGGGCTGGTTTGTACGAAGGATGGCTTCCCCATTTGTATGTACCGTCTTATCTCATTTTGAAACGAATGGAATCTCAAAGTTTCTCGAACCGCACACGCATGACTCATTTCTCAGATTAAGTTATTTCTGTCTAGGTTTGTCGGGAACTTGCTCAAAGGGCAGACTGTTGGAGTGATTGGGGCCGGTCGTATTGGTTCTGCTTATGCTAGAATGATGGTAACAAGATCACTGCAGCTAATAAACATATCAAGCTTCAGTTTAACTATTATATTCTATGAAATGCATTCATGATGATCCTTCCTTTTGTTCTATGGCACTATCCACATAAAAAATAGGTTGAAGGGTTCAAGATGAACTTAATCTACTATGATCTGTACCAAGCGACACGGTTAGAGAAATTCGTCACAGGTGCATAAACAAGTGATTAGTTTTTATGTGCAATTTTGGACATGACCAATTAATTATATGCTCCCCCCTTAATTTGCAGCATATGGGCAGTTCCTGAAAGCAAATGGTGAACAACCTGTGACATGGAAAAGAGCTTCTAGCATGGATGAAGTGCTTCAAGAAGCTGATGTGGTGAGCCCTTTGCTCCCAGTACTAATTAAATGGAGACACTTGAATATTTAAATCTCACATGTCCTTTAACACATGCTTCTTGTTGCTGCTGTGTAGATAAGTCTTCACCCAATCCTTGATAAAACAACTTATCATCTTGTGAACAAAGAAAGGCTTTCAATGATGAAGAAGGTATCTGCAGCATCTTTGTTCGGATATTTCTTCCTCGATAAGTTAATACTTTTTTTTTTCTGGATGATTGAAAATTACTTCTGTTTAAAATGTAGGAGGCAATCCTGGTGAACTGCAGCAGGGGTCCAGTTGTTGACGAGGTAGCTCTTGTCGAGCATCTGAGAGAGAATCCTATGTTTAGAGTTGGTCTTGATGTCTTTGAGGTAAACTTAAACTCTTCCAAACACTGGTACTGATAAATGCAAGTGTATTTCAAGGTCTGAATTTGTTGTTCTTCTATTGCATACAGGATGAGCCTTATATGAAACCAGGGCTCGCAGACATGAAGAATGCTGTTGTTGTACCTCACATAGCTTCTGCTTCGAAGGTGTGATCTTTTGCACTTCCTCCTCTTCTTTGTTTGTCTTCACATACATTCCCGTAATGCCTTTTCCTTCATTTTTGGATCCCCCTTGAACAATTTCCGTGCTTCTGACATGCTTGATCTGACATGTGTTGTTTAGTGGACTCGCGAAGGAATGGCTACGCTGGCTGCTCTGAATGTCTTGGTAGATATGCGATCTTTACATATAAATTTCTTCATCATATTGCATAGTATTTGAACTGAATGATAGCTTCTGCCATCAAATTCCATAGGGAAAAATCAAGGGCTATCCGGTATGGGCTAATCCAAACAATGTCGAACCCTTCCTTAATGAGAACTCTCCACCGCCTGCTGCCTGCCCTAGTATTGTCAATGCAAAACCATTAGGCAAGTCCTTTGCTTTTCTCTTTTGAATGATAACCAGTTATTTTCCGATTCATTTGACTAAAACTATGACACCTCGGTGACAAAGTTCATGTTATGCTGCAGGTTTATCAGTTTCAAAACTGTAATTGGGAATGAGGTTTATAAAAAGGACTTTGACATGATGATGCAAGAATGGTCGGTCATCTTGGAAGGACTAGTACTATATGGGGAAACTTTTGTAAATTGGAAAACCTACGCCGGAGTCATCATTATTATAAACTGCAATTTGCCAATGTCCATGTGTATTTTGTTACTTCCTGGTGTTCCTTAGAGGTTCATGATACAGATTGCCATGGATCCATGTTGTTTCTGCAATATATACAGTCAGCTAAATTGAATGGGTGTTTTCTTCAGTTTAATGTATCCAGAATGATTGATGTGATGTCGGAGGAATACTCCTTCCGTCCCAAATTCGTATCTTATATACGAAATGCTTCACCCATCTAAAAAAATTAATTCAAACTATTACAAATTGTGTATTCTATCATTTTCAATACAAATCACGAACTAAAGTCCGGACTATTTTTGTAGTAAATGGAAGAGAGAGTATAAAATTGCAAAGAAAAAAAAAACATTACTTGATGCTTCTTATACATATACTCCCTCAATTTTAGTCACTAACAAGTTTTTTTTTTTTTCTTTCTTTTTGTAATGTGCCCATACCAAATGTTCGAACTATTGTACTATACATATCCTTAATTAGTTCTATATTTCAGTTATTACGTAGAGACACTAATGGTATTATAATTCTTTTTTTTTTTTTCATTATGAATAACAAAAGGAAAATGAGGTTGTTCATCAAAAAGACAGATACACCCAATTGCAGTTCAGCGTAAAAAAAATTTATGGGTTTCCTTTCAAAAAAATAAAAAAGATAATTTTCAAAAGATGAGAAGTTATTTCTAGAAAGAAATAGCTTTAAAAAAAGAAAACACATAAATAAAAATGAATTGTCGTGTTGCTTCGTTTCAATATTATAAATATCGACCACCGGGTCCCTTTCTCTCCCCTCGTTATTCATTTTCCTTTCGCTTCCCAATCGTCCTTTCCCCCAATTCGCTTTCTCATCTTCTAGGGTTAGGGTTTCCGTCTTCCCTAGCGTTTGCAAAGCAGCTTCTTCTCAAAATCCGGCAACATGTCGACCTCTAAGAACATCGTGTTGAAGAGCTCCGATGGCGAGACTTTCGAGGTGGAGGAAGCGGTGGCTCTGGAATCGCAGACGATTAAGCACATGATCGAGGACAACTGCGCCGACAACAGTATCCCCCTTCCTAACGTCACCAGCAAGATCCTTGCTAAAGTGATTGAGTACTGCAAACGCCACGTCGATGCTGCGAAGGCCGCCGAGGGTACCGCGGAGAAGACCTCCGATGAAGATCTGAAGTCTTTTGACGCCGACTTCGTCAAAGTGGATCAGGGCACTCTCTTCGATCTCATCCTGGTCTGATATTCTTCGATCTCACTTCTATTATTCATTCATTGACCGAATTTGTCTGCCTTAGTCATGTTGCGGTTGTCTTGGTTGCTCTGTTTGCCCAGGGTTTCTCTTACGACCCTTGGAGAATTTTGGGTTATATTTTGAATCTGTTCTATTGATGGTTTGTTTGTTTCTGATTTTGATATTTATGTTCGTTGGTAGTTAACGAAGTCGTTTTGTTGGGTTTGATTACTTTTGCCTTTGTTTTGAATTATTTCTGTTCTTGTTTTTCTGTTTGATTAATTCTGTATCATGTTCTTGTTCTGCCTTCTGTCCCTTGTTTGTGGATTATGTTTTTATTTGCCCAAGTGACATTTGAAATATGCTTCGGTTTAGCATCTCTTAGATATGGCCGGGACCCTGTTTAATGCTTTAATTCCTTGTCCGGTCCTTTCTCAGAACTTGTTTCCCAGGGCTAGGCACAGGCTGCATGTTAAGCATTTAGCCAGGGAACTAAGTTGATGCATTGAGGACTGTAACTGTTTATTTTAGTGTGCTGAGCTTGTGATGGAAATAACTGCTTATAGGTTGCTAGAGTTTGTGGAATGTTTATAATCTCTTGGTAATGAGAAGTAAGAATTGGTTTATACTTTGTGGTGGGTGCATTTGTTCTTGTGATGAAAATAACTGCTTATTCGTTGTTGGAGTTTGTGGAATGGTTATAATCTCTTGGTAACGAGAAGTAAGAATTGGTTTATACTTTGTGGTGGGTGCATTTGTTTTCTGTTGCTGTTGGATGTCGCTGGTTTGTGTTCTGTTGCCGTTGGATGTGACTGCTTAGTTTGTGTTTCCAGGCTGCGAACTACTTGAACATCAAGAGCCTTCTTGACTTGACCTGCCAGACTGTGGCGGATATGATTAAGGGGAAGACACCAGAGGAGATCCGCAAGACTTTCAACATTAAGAATGATTTCACCCCGGAGGAAGAGGAGGAGGTTCGCAGGGAGAATGCCTGGGCCTTCGAGTGATATGGAAGCTTGTGATGTTAATACTCTGGTTATTTTGTCTGCGGTAGTAGCTAAAACTTGATGGTAGTAAATATTTTGTAACGCTGTTGCTTTAAGGTGCTTTCGAACTGGTTATATTATTCAACTTAGATGGTGTCAAACCTTGCCTTCTAATATTTTGTTGCTCTGTGGGCACAAACTTTAGTTTCATGTTAAGTGAATTATTATTCGGCACGAATCTTATTTTCTCTATTTTGTGTTTCTTATGCTGCTGCTAATCTTACCTAGTTTCGTAGTGGGTTATTTAATGGTACATGAACCATATTAAGCTTTTTGTATCCCTTTTTTTTTTTTCCTGGTTGTGAATGTTTTTTTTGGCTATTGGTGCATCTATTCTTGTTTCGATCTTTGTACATGTATGGAGAGAAGTAGATCTTTGTGAAAGAGGACATGTTTTCTGCTGGGGTTCATTTGTGATCTGTAATTGAGTGCATGTCCTGTCCTGTTGGTTGTTTGGGGGATAGTAATCTAATGTATTTCAGTGTTCTGGTTAACACGCTGAGCGCGCCAAAATTTAGTTTTTTTTTTCTCCAAACTTTCGGTTGTCGCCCAAAACTGAGATGCAGATGATGAAGAATTTAAGGCAGAAATTTAGCATTGAATTGCCAAGTATAGCATAGCCAAATCTTTGGATGTAGAAAACTGATGACAAAGTTCAAATCCGTTGTTCCATGTTCTAAATCTGTGCTACCAGGAGGCTGTATTATCTCTTCCATATGGCAATTTGTTTTAGGGGGATGTAGACATGGTTGTGAAATAGGGTCGGTATACATGTTTTTGTCATGATCGAAGGACTTATTCAAAATTGGAATTTCTGGAACTTGGGGAGGTTTGATTGAAGGCAGTGGAAAGGCACGGATTTACAGATGGATTTACTGTAATGATGTGTAATAAATGATTAGGGGTAGACACTGTTAATACCGTAATGATTGGGAAGTAATAATCATCTGAATGAATAACCATTTTCTAGGTCATTTCTATTTTCCCAAATCCTCTAATCTTCTTGAAACTTTTGCTTTCTTCCCCTCTCTGTTCTCCGGGCGTTCTGAACTCTGACTCCGGCGACTGTTTTTCACACTCTGGCCGTCCAATTCTTCGTTAATTGCTTAATTGCCCTCTGTATCTGACAGTTTGGAGAGCTAGAAATCTGGGTATATTGAAGAAAATTGGACTTCACAGTCACTTGTACACGTCATTTTTTGGGCTTCACAGTCACAATTTGTACTCATTTTTAGGAAGAAATCGAGAAGATTACATCAAGAAGTCAGTTATCTTTGTTGACAAGTGATTGATTTATTGGAATTTTGGATTACGGAAAGATCATTAAGCAGTTTTGGCTTGGGAGGTTGGCATAAAATGGTGGGAGTAGGCTTAAAGAAATGAAATGGGGAAAGGGTGTTGCGTGGGATCGGTGGGTGGTTTTGTTCCAGATTCACACGCCCCCTTATTGGTTTTGTTTGGGTTGGCTAATTGCACATATGCTGTTTTCTTAGATTAGGAGTCATCATCACCATAGCGTAAGCGTGCTATGAATGGTATAGTTTGTATTCTCATGAATGGTTTAGTTTGTAGTTTAATTTTTAGCACAAATTGTATATTTAATAACGATAGGATGATAATATTTTCAAATTATTTTGTTTATATTTTTATTTTTTTAATTTAAGCACACATTTAGTGACAGACGGATTACAATTTTGGAACGGTAGTAAGTATAAAGTAATCACGGAAAACCGTCTGACCATCTGGCAGATGCCGTTATGTTATATATATACAACAAGGCGTGATGCTTTAATATATATATATAAAAAAAAAAAAAAAACTCTTTGGTGTGTTTGATGAGGTAGGAGTAGTAGCGGTGGTTAAAGATATCCACCACGTAGTAAAGAAATGGAGCTTTAGAAAGTGGAAGAGTGAGGTTGCGGGATTACTTCACACTTGTCCTATCTCTCTCTTTTTAACCAACTCTGCCTCTATCATCAAATTTTTATTCTTTTTTTTTTTTTTTCCTAAAAGAGCCACCGTCACACACACACACACACATATATATATATATATATAAAGAAGATATGGTGTTCTTTCAAGAAAAATCCAAGGAAAAATTTCCAAAATAGAAGGTAAGGAACCCAATCAATGATTAAATAGAAGTTACGATTACATGTTTTAGTGTATTGAGTTTGAATAAATATTGGGTGTATCCAGCTGTATTGTTTAATTTGGGAATTACCGGCTCAAAATTTGTAAATGTACAGTAACTTCATAATCCTACTCTTCATTTGCCCTCCCAAAAGGATAAGAATCTGGGGTTCATTGTATCACCACCACCAATAATAAGTTGCACCCTTGTGGCAACAATTCATACGGGGATTTCGCATCTTTCTTTATTCTTGGAAACAAAAATTGAGTGTAGATTTTGTAGCCATACAATTGAGAGATGTATGATAAGTGATAATTAAGTTAAATAGATTTTAAAGTTATTTAAATAGATAGATTCTGAATTTGTGATAATAATGATAATTCATTAAGTGATAATATATACTATATATCATCAGAAGAAGAAGTAGATAAACAAACAATTGTATACGACTGGAGGCCTAACGGTTTTCCAACTGCCATAAATAAAATATGTATAAATTTTAATAATAATCACATAAATACTAGTAATTTCTTATTATAAATTCTATTAAAAAAATAAAAGAAAAGAATGAAGAAAAGACACGAAAACTTAAAAAAGCGGGAAAAAAAAAAACACAGAGCACAAAATGCGGCATATGCCTTTTCATCTCCTCGACCTGGCTTGGTGGCGGTGCTGTCATCCTCCTCCTTCCTATCTTTCTACCTTCTTTTTCTCTTTTGGGGACGCTTCATTATTATATTATTATTATTATCTCTTCATTAAAATAAATAAAAAATATCATCTTTTTTTTTTTTTAGAATAATAGTAAATAATATAATAGAATTATATAGACGCTTCATTATTATATTATTATTATTATCTCTTCATTAAAATAAATAAAAAATATCATCTTTTTTTTTTTTTAGAATAATAGTAAATAATATAATAGAATTATTATATATAAATACACAACAATATGACAGTGGGTGACGCAGAAGAAGAGTCACAAACACAAACGATTTAACCAACGACCACATCGATCCCAATCCCGCAGATTTTGCTCTTTTTAATCTCCGATGATGATGATGATGATGAGGAGGATCACATTTTCTTCTTGAAATTCCTCCCGATTCTTACTTGGTCTTTGTTTTTTCTTGGTCTTTGGTCCTCCTCCTTCCTACTCTTCTTCTTTTCTATTTTTAGTCAATTTTCAAACTAGTATTTATATCTGTGAGCCATTTGTTCGGAAATGGCGGATTTTGAGCCATTAGTTCGGAGACGGGATGTCTTGGATGTAGTCGTTGATCATCAACATCAACACCAACACCAACACCAACTTTATCATCACCACCATCCTCGTTTAGACGATGATGACCATGATCAGGGATTTGAAGAAGATGGTCCCAAGAAAACTGCCAATTCTTCCTCCAAACCCATTCTTAATTCCAATCCCAGGGTGGCTTCTCTCGATGTTCTTCGTGGCCTCTCTGTTCTGGTAAGACACATTGAATGTCTCCCCACGCGCCCACTTCTTAATTCTTTTCTTCTGCTCTGCTCTTGCCTTCATTTGTTGAATTCTCCAACATAGTGTTTTGCATGAATTCTTTGGATACGGGGTCAAAGGGTCTTACACATACAGCGTGATTATGATGATGGAGGGAATTTTTCCAATTGCTGCTGTGAAGTGCAAAACTGTAAATTAATTACTTTCTTGTTGCCATTGGTGATGGAAAGGCATATTTAATGCTCTGCCTGATAAACGGTTCTTGGGACTTTTTTCTTTTCCTCCGATTTTTTAAGTCTCGAGGGTTATCTTGTTTGTGTTTTCGATTTTTCGTTCGTCTACCCCCACCGACTTTCATCATCATTTTACTTGACAGATGCCCTCTCGATTGGAAAACTCGATTCTTTTGTGGCCTTAGCAGCATTTCTGTTCTAATAGTAATTTTGGGAATTCTTTTTCTCCACTCCTAACTCGCGTCCGCGGCAGTCAGTCACTAACTGTAATTAGCATTATGGATGGTGGATACTGTCAAATTTGCATGCCCCTTCTTGTGCACCATATCAGTATTACTATGTATACATATGCGTTTGCATTTTTATTCCCCCTTATTCCTTTTGGTTTGGAGGGGTGAGTGACCCAGTTAATTTCTTCCTTTGTTCTACAGCTTATGACTGTTGTGGATTATGGTGGCTCAGTTTTCCCGATCATTGGTCATTCACCATGGAATGGCGTGCACTTGGCAGACTTTGTCATGCCTTTCTTCCTTTTTGTTGCTGGAGTCTCCCTTGCTATTGTCTACAAGGTATAGAGTATTGTGCAAGTTAGAAGACCCTTTTACAAGTTGATGACTGTTTGGCTGAAAAGCTTAAGAGTAAAGATAAAGCATCTCTGAATGATTGATTATTAAAATAACCTGTTCTGCTAGATAGTCCATTTTGATTTGGTAGGATTGGGGGCAGTTTATGGAGGCTGATTTTGATTTAGTCTTTTCTGGATCTTTTGGGCATAACAAGCCGTGATAAAGCAAGCTCCTTTGCTTTTGAAATTGCAGAAGATGTCAGATAAGAAAGAAGCAACCTGGAAGGTAGTGATGAGGGCATTAAAACTTTTCTTGCTTGGAGTTCTTTTACAAGGTAAGTATAAGCTTAATACCCTTCACCAGTTTAATGATATCATTCTTTCATTCACTTTCATTCGTCATTTGGATTGAATCCTATCTTGAACTTGTTACATTTGTAATGCTTCGGCAACTCGGAAACCTTCCAATTACCAAGGAGTTTATATGATTCTTTGTGCTAATTCCGCACGAACAAGAAATTTATATGATTCTTTGTGCTAATTCCGCGCGAACATTTCTTTATATTCTACTGTGCTTGGCTATCTATGTTTGAGGTTTCGAACACTGAAAGTGATGCATACTGTGGCTGATGGGATTTTTTTTCCAACTGAAATAGTGGTTTCACAATAATAACTAAGAGTATGTTGTTTACTTTGTGCATATCAGGGGGTTACTTACACGGGATTACGTCTATGACATATGGTGTGGACATTGAAAGAATGAGATGGCTTGGCATTTTGCAGGTGCCTTTTGAATCTGCATTTTACTGTGCATTTTAATTGTTTATGATGTATATCCGAGAATAGGGTGACTCATCTTTCATCTCAAGTCTATCCTTTATGATTTTTACTGAGAAAGTATCTATGATCTTCATTTTTCACATTCTAGACCGGAAAAAAGGCATTTATCGAAGCCAGGTTTTGTTCTTAATGTTACTTTTTTTGGTCAGTGCAGAGGATAGCTGTTGCATACCTTGTTGCAGCCTTATGTGAGATTTGGCTTCCATGTCGAAACTGGAGGAAGGAAGGCTTTCTCAGAAATTATCTGCTTCACTGGTAAAGCTTTTACATTTATAGGAGTGATATTTGTGTTCCATATAAAATCGCCAGTTAGACTGTTTTCTTGGGGATGCCAACGTTGATGTTCAGCAGTTTTTGAAATTGCATGTTGTCTAAAGCGTCATATACTGTGCTCTTCTTTCCAGTAACAGTTTTGCTTTATGTGTTTTCTCATCTTCTGGGTTCTGTTTCAGGGGTATTGTACTAGTGCTTTCTGTGTTGTACTTGGGTTTATTATATGGATTGTATGTTCCTGATTGGCAATTCAGTCCGGTGAACAACAATGAAGTATACAAGGTAATTTTATACTTTGCTGAATTTTTCATTTTAATGTTTTTTTGTCTAACTTTTTCATATTAACCAATGTTGTTAGGTGACATGTTCCGCCAGAGGCAATCTTGGGCCAGGCTGTAATTCTGCTGGAATGATAGATAGATATGTCCTTGGTATTAATCATCTCTATGCAAAACCAGTATACCGGAATCTGAAGGTATTTAAGAGAGAACCATTGCAATTTTGAGATTGTATCAAGCAATTGATATACAGTTTCTAAGGGATGTTATTGACAGGAATGCAGCGTGGCTTACAATGCGCAACTTAATCAGAGTGTACCGTCATGGTGTCATGCTCCTTTTGAGCCTGAAGGTATCCTGAGGTTAGTAAACCACTGATCCTCATTTTTTTTAATTCTTGAGAAAAACAAGATCCGATTAAACTATTGCATAGAAGCCTTATCCCTTTTGCAGATCATTGTATTTAAGGTAGTTTGCTAAGTTAAAATGCTATATTTTGCAGTTCTTTAACAGCTGCTGTGACGTGCATTATCGGCCTGCAGTACGGTCACATTCTTGTGCAGTTGCAGGTTCGTCATCGTGCTAGATATCCTTTGGCCTATTAGTGTACTTACCATGTGCTTTTATGTGCACCAGTTCTGTAGCTGTTACTTTTTCATTTTGTTTTCGAATTTGCACAAGCTAACCTTGAACAATTGATTAACAACAGGACCATAAAGAGAGGCTCTATAATTGGTCCTTGTTCTCGTTTTCATTTATGGCCCTTGGTCTCTTGCTCTCCTTTCTAGGTATGTTATCTCTCCTGAGTTTTAATTGTATGCACCTGCAGAAACGTAGTTTTAGTTGGAAATGCCTACTACCTTGAAAACAATGTCACCTTTGGCTCTGTTATGAGTAGGGTAGTTTGGATATTCTACACCGTGGATAACATTTGTGATTGAAATTTGTTTCTAAGCACATGGAATACTCTTTTAGGTAACAGACGTCGTTCTAGAATTTTGAATTACAAATGTGAAAGAAATGAATTTGAAAAAAAAGAGAGGAAATTTTTTATGTTCCTAACTGACATTTGTGTTTTGCTCTGTTGCTACCTTTATGATGATATGAAAGTTTTGGATGCTTCTGTTGTGTTATTGTTTGAAAACTCTGAAGATGGACAAAGTTTTGAACTGACTTATTTCCCTTTTCGGCCCTTTTCTAGGTATGCCATTGAATAAATCCCTGTACACGCTCAGTTATTTGCTGGTGACAGTAGGGTCTACTGGAATCACTTTTTGCTTACTCTATGTACTGGTAATGATTCGAAATTGTGAAAGCTCATTTTCTTCGTAAAGATGTCTGATAGTTTTTGCAAGATACTGATGTAGTTGATGTAATAATGGTCATTACCCAGAAAAGGTCATTTTGTAAGCTTACATGAACCAAAATTCATGTATTTTGGGATTTCGTCTTCCATGAGTGATTGATGGGTTGTCTTCGTTCTTCTTTTGATACAAGGTTGATGTCTATGGATGGAGGGGCGTGACTTTTGTGTTTGAGTGGGTGGGAAAACACGCGCTCAGTATCTTCATACTCGTAACTTCAAACATTGCTGTGATAACAATTCAAGGGTTCTATTGGAAATCTCCAGACAACAACATTGTAAGTATCAGATACACCAGCCAAAATTAGTAACCATTTATTATACATGTTAATGTTTTACCCCTCCAAAATTGTGGCTCACTTGGACTGGATTATTCCCAGGTTCACTGGATAGTTACACAGGTTGTACACAAGTGATGATGTATATAAATTGAGTCAGAGGGAAGAGTTGAGTACCTCTTTTGAAGGTTCTGGCAGCCTTCTTTTTGCAGCTGGAAGTATAAGGATACTCAGAGCAAGGTCATACGGGGATGCTTTGCCGAGGACAAAGATTGTTCGACCTAAATACTCCTTTGGGTCCTAAATTAAAATTGTGCTTCACAAATAGGACCCGGAGGAGTATTGTGGTTATTAACACTAACTATATATAGGTGAGGTGAAGGACAAAATTTTGACCATAGCTTGTTGAGTAGGCGGCCCCTTCATTAATCTATTTTAGGGATGACATGATGATTATTTTAACTAGGGAGTAGGGTAGTTAATTTTTGTTTTAACTACTGTATCCTTTTAGGATTATGATCTTTATCTCTACTCATATGAGCAGTTATTTTCCTTATACATTCAACATTACCTGCAAACATGATGGGCTAAGATATATCAGCCGGGCCTGAACCAGATATTTGAAGGATTGGGCATGTCAATTGCTTTCCATCTGTCTGTCTCCAATGTTGTGGGTAAATATATAAAATTTGTCATCTCATCCCTTTGCTTCTTTATCCATTGCCATAATGAAGCTTTTGCACTGAACATATATAGTAGAGTTAAGAAGTTTTAAATTTCCACCAAATGTAAATGTAATGTCGAAAATAAAGTAAAAAAAAAAAAAGCAAATGAGGGAAAATGAACAGAAAATCACTGCATATGAGTTACTTGGGAGATGATTGTAGGGAAAAAACTATGAAGCATAGTTATCAAATCGTGATATGTATCGTGTATCGGAAACCTAAATTTATGATACGCGTATCGTATCGTGTATCGTATCGTAAGATACGTTTTAATATAATAATATGTATAAAATAAATAATAAATATCATAAAATACATATGTCATTAATATATTTATACTTTTTTATTTTTCAGCTATAAACAAATAAATTGATTGAGTTGAATTCAAGATTATTTGAAAGTTACACAAATTACTCATTCATTACATGAATAATGGTCGTACAACCTATGTAATAAATATCGTTTTTCATGATAATTGTTATTATAGCCATAAATTTAATAGTGAGAAAAATTAATATAAACATGTATTGCATTTATTTAACATGCTATTAGTTATACTTCATTTGGAAAATGATATTAAGAATAAAATAATATTTTTAAATCTATTATTTTTTAGACTATGATAAGTTATTAAGCGGTTTTGTCTTCAATTGAAAACAATTATGTTCGTGAAAGAAATAAATCAATAATATCTATTTAAAACAAATTGTAAATGAAATTCGCGCTTAATTTAAAATTTAAACGGTTATTATAAAACAAAAGTTTAAATTTTTTTAATAATATTTTTTTTTTGCCTATGTTTTTGTATCGTACGATACGCAATCGTATCGTGTATTGTATGTATCGTACGATACGTATCGATAATTGACTGATACACAAGTGATTGCGATACATAACATGATACGTATCAAAATCCTTAATTTTGATACGTATCGTGCGATACGCGATACTTACTACTATGCTATGAAGTGCTACATAAGTAATGTTGATTTTGAGAAGCCAACAATTATGTATAGTGTATATTGCCCCCACAGTGGATAAGTATGGCGTCATTTTTTGAGTTTTGAGTAGCCAACAACTATCTTTTGAGTTTTCGTTTGAACCTCAAAATATTTTTTTTTTTCTTTTTCGCGAAAATAAACTCAATTCTTTACCACGTTTTAATTATATATGTGTCTTTCTCAACTGCGTTTTATTAATATATATATATATATATATATATATATATTTATATCATCCAAGTGCATTTTCTCTTTTATTTTCAATAAAACCAAATATTACATCCAGAAAATATTTCAAACAAAAATTTAATAACCAAGATCAAGCCGATCTAAAACAAACATTATTGTCATAATCAAAAGGAGGCAATGAGGGGTCGATTCTTTTGGGGGCGTAAATAATGAATGATGATATGATAAGCTATATTTGCATTATTGTGTTTAAAAAGAGAGATAATATCACGTAAAATTTGAGAAGGAAGGAAATTAGGTGAGTTTTTTTTAACAATGAAGGAGGCAATGATTAGATTTGGTTGATATGAAACACTAACAATATTATTATCCAACCTTGGTTTTAACCCGTAAATGGCTTATTGAGCCATGAATTCTGAAGGGGAAAGAGGAGGGCCAGTGATGATGTGGCGTTGGGACCATGACCTTTGTGGATTTTCCTCTTATAACGGCTTTAATACAGGAGAACTCTCCCGAAACATCTCCATAAAATGAATTTCTCTTCTTATTTTCTTCATGGTCCAACTGTCTTCTTACTACTCTCTTTGTCCCATAATTATTATTCAGTATGGGAATTTCATTTCTAATACAGTTCGAACTAAAACTGAAAATCTAAACTAGAAAAATATATATATATATATTATTTTTATCTCCCCAAAAAACTGATCATATATATCTTTCACAAATGGAGAATTATTAAAATGGGGGATGCCATGGGGAAGAATAAATTGAAATTGAGAGAAATGGAGGATGAGGGTGGGGCTGGGCGAATGTCTGTGGTATATAAATGCCAGCTGTGTACCACATGACACTCTGTGTCTTGGTGATTAGCCATATCACACGAGAGATTATTTGGCTTTTGGTTTGAGAATAAAACAAAATTTAAAATCATGTCACCCCCACATCTACTTAATAAATTTTATACCTCTAAGCATGATTTCCTTGACTCCTAATCATGATTCGATTGATGATGCGGCATCGCGGCTGCAGCATTATCCACCAACTACTCCCTCCCTATTTGTTTGTATATACAGAGCTGGATAAATTTCCGAAATAAAACGAGTATTTTGAAAAAATTGTTCTAATGTAGTCGCATACATTAATTGGTCCACTTTATTTCTTTTTTCTAATATATAAGAAGGAGGCTCAAAGCTTAAATCAAACTATTACATTTTAAGGATATATAATTTTATCGATAATACAACCCTGGTAGCACTGCCTCCGGTGGTCCTTCCCATCTATTTACTCTCATAAGAGAATTAAAATTTAAAAAATATAAATAAAAAAGAGAATAATGGAAATAATATTAAAATTAAATTATGATTGCATGATCCCAATGTAAATAACAAGTGTCATATTTATATACACTGTTGGGTAAAAATTACTACACACTATTCGATAAAAGCTAATTTTGTTAAGTAATAAATTAAATAAATCTCTTTTGATAATTATTAAGCAAAAATTATCACTACAGTAAATACTCTCTCATCTACAATTAATCATATTTTAAGACCATCAAATAATGGAACTCTTTTTTAAACTCTCAATCTACAATAAAAATAATCAAAACCTTTCTTTTTTATAATAGTCTATTCAACCAAAAAACAAGTCATTACAACAGAATTTTTTAGTGAAATAAATTGACAAAATAAAAAAGATTAATGACATAGAGATATGAAACATAGAAAATTTTTCTAGATTTATAAATTTTAATTATTATAATCGGTTATTCGGTTTAACCTAGAAAGGTATAAGTAAAATCGAAAACTAAACCAATTAACCGACAAAAAACCGTTTAACCAAGACCTATTAACCGATTAACCGATTGTTTAGTTAATCGGCTCTGTTTTATGTCGGTTTTTGATTCGGTTACTCGGTGTCGGTTTTTTGAACACCCCTACTCTCCACTCTATTTGATTTTTTAGGCCCTTTAAATAATTTACCGGAAAAATTAACTTACATAAACTCGTGTTTATGTTGCACGTGATTCTCAAAATGATCCCTCCATAGGTCCGCTACTACCTCTAGTACATTTGTGTCACTTCTGATCACAATTGTAGCCGGAAGTTGCTTGCACGGAGAGATATGTTATTTTTGGTTGTTATGATCAAGCCTGTGTTCCTGTGCAATTTGTCTTGATGATGAACGGCTTGGATTAAATGAATCTCAATTAACTCTTCCAGGTTATGTGTCTATGAAAATGGAGTAATTAAAGATCCAACAAAAAACTATCTTTGTCCCAATTTCAAACAAGTTAAAGGGGAGTAAATCTTCAGTACATCCGTTGTACACGTTAGCTGTATATATCTTATATACAAAAAACAGAAAATGTAATATTTTTACGGGAGAGAGAGAGAGAAATTTATGAAGTCAAAAAAAATTAAATATTAAACCTTATTGGTTGATTACACTAGAAAGGTAGATACAATTGTTGTATATTAGATATTTCCGGGAGGATGAATCTATATAGTTAACGTAGTAAGTAGTGTCACGGACAGTTTTCTTCACCACGAATTCGGGTGGTTTGATGCGAAACGGGCTATTTTCGTAGACGGACATGGGACGGAACGGTCTAGAGCCTTGTGGAATTCTCCAGTCAAATCTTGAAGACTCTGGAATTTTCTAGAAGCCCTAACTCTCTAGAAACGAGTGGAACCGTGTGGAAGCTACCCGAGTTTGCTAGAACCGTGTGGAAGATTCTAGAGACTTGTAGATATTTTGAACTTAGAATATTTTATTGTAGGAATTCTCTAGAATCCCATTATTTTATTATGTACATAGAATTCTCTAGAATTCTTTAGGACTTGGGGTTTGCCTATAAATACCCCATGCCCCCTTCATTTGTAACCATCCAAGCTTTGAGTAGAGTTCTCAAGCATTCCTTAAGCTCTCTTGTGCCTTCATCGTTCTTTCACTTTCAACTTTTCTTAAGTTTTTCTTTGCCTCCGTTCTTTAAAGCCTTGCCTAGCTTTGCACGCTTTGGGGTCTTAAGGTGAGCTAGCACTTGATCGTTAGTTGTTTTGTGCTAGTGCCGCACGGCCGTTACTTTGAAAAAGTAAGCCCGTGACAGGTTGGTATCGAGCCTCGGCTCGATACTTAGTGTGCTACATCGTCTACGCTTACGTTTTCTTTCGTGCATAAGCTATGTCCAACCCTTCGGAGGTTGTACAAGGGTCGGAGCTTGAGGGGGATCACGTTTCCGCGAGGTGGGAGGACCACCCGCAGCGAAGCCGCAGGAGAAGTCGGTCGTTAGAGAGCCGATGGTGGAATTTGAGAAACGGCTTGCCAAGCTAGAGCTTGCGTGGCCGACCACCAAGACCGTTGGGACGAG